TTAGATGTTACTGGTTAAATGTTACTGGTTAGATGTTACTGGTTAAATGTTACTAGTTAAATATTACTAGTTAATGTTACTAGTTAAATGTTACTGGTTAATGTTACTGGTTAAATGTTACTGGTTTAATGTTAACAACCTTTTGAGTTTAATACCAACAAACACTAATTCCACATTCTTATCAGTTTATTCAATGTATCAGGTTAATGTCTTTAAAGAGTTTGACATCAAGCTTATATATACATATTGATGATTTAAAACGCATGTGAAAAACAAAACCAAACAAATCATCATCAAACACAGAATGGATATAATTACATAATTGTGTAAACTATAATTGCTTTTGACCTGACAACACTGACATGTAATCAAGTTTTGTTTCCATACCTGCCAGTCCTCCCTCTTCAGAAAGAGACTATAATTTTGCTGTTTTCAATAAGTAAATTTGCTCAACTATTTTTATATTCTAAAATCTAATGATTTCATTTGAATGAATGACCAAAAAGAAGCTACACCATCATTTGATCTTCACAACAAGAGATCCCAGAAAAACCTTGGTGACCACCATCATTTGATATTTACAACAACAGGCCCAGAGGGCCTGTATCGCTCACCTGGATCTTTATGACCAACAGTACTATATCTGTGCATATGTTCCATGTTTAACACATTTGACCCCTGTGACCTTGACTACGGGTCAAGGTCATTTCTTTTACTTTCTTGGACTTCATAAAAGGAACATACTGGCCAATTAGAATGATTCTAGGATTTTTCGATATTTCAGAAGAAATTGTTTAAATGTTTGAACACATTTGACTCCTGTGACCTTGAAGATTGGTCAAGGTCATATCTTTTAGCAAACTTTGTAGGGCACCATAAGAGGAACATAGTAGCCAAATATAGTGATTCTTATATCACTTGTGTAGATTAATTGTGTAAATCATCGCTGTAGTAGTTAGAACCAGCTACAATGTACTGCCAGCTTTTGCCGTTATCCTTAATAATTATTAATATTGACGTGGGAATGGTTTAGGTTGATTTCACCGCTTAATCCATGACTTCAGACATCAACAAATTGTTATTTATTATATTTATCCACAAAGTGTCCATGATATAGTATTTTTAATAAAAGGTAGAAAATTAAGACCCACAAAAATACATAATTTTACAGTAATAAATATTACCATGTCTGGTATCCTAATGGTTTTATCATAGGACAGGTTATGTCTGGTATAACAATGGTTTTATCATAGGACTGGTTATGTCTGGTATCACAATGGTTTTATCATAGGACTGGTTATGTCTGGTATCACAATGGTTTTATCATAGGACTGGTTATGTCTGGTATAACAATGGTTTTATCATAGGACAAGTTATGTCTGGTATAACAATGGTTTTATCATAGGACTGGTTATGTCTGGTATAACAATGGTTTTATCATAGGACTGGTTATGTCTGGTATAACAATGGTTTTATCATTTTGTGATTGAGAAGAATAGTGGAAGAAATGTATGAGAACCCAGGTACAGTGACCATTACTGGTCTACAGACAGACACAATGTTTTCCACTGCTAAAACTGACAATGGAACCCAGGTACAGTGACCATTACAGGTCTACAGACAGACAATGTTTTCCACTGCTAAAACTGACAATGGAACCCAGGTACAGTGGCCATTACAGGTCTACAGACACAATGTTTTCCACTGCTAAAACTGACAATGGAACCCAGGTACAGTGGCCATTACAGGTCTACAGACACAATGTTTTCCACTGCTAAAACTGACAATGGAACCCAGGTACAGTGGCCATTACAGGTCTACAGACACAATGTTTTCCACTGCTAAAACTGACAATGGAACCCAGGTACAGTGGCCATTACAGGTCTACAGACACAATGTTTTCCACTGCTAAAACTGACAATGGAACCCAGGTACAGTGGCCATTACAGGTCTACAGACAATGTTTTACAATGCTAAAACCGAAAATGGAACCCAGGTACAGTGGCCATTACAGGTCTACAGACACAATGTTTTCCACTGCTAAAACTGACAATGGAACCCAGGTACAGTGGCCATTACAGGTCTACAGACACAATGTTTTCCACTGCTAAAACCGAAAATGGAACCCGGGTACAGTGACCATTACAGGTCTACAGACACAATGTTTTCCACTGCTAAAACCGAAAATGGAACCCGGGTACAGTGACCATTACAGGTCTACAGACACAATGTTTTCCACTGCTAAAACCGAAAATGGAACCCAGGTACAGTGGCCATTACAGGTCTACAGACACAATGTTTTCCACTGCTAAAACTGACAATGGAACCCAGGTACAGTGGCCATTACAGGTCTACAGACAGACACTATGTTTTCCACTGCTAAAACTGACAATGGAACCCAGGTACAGTGGCCATTACAGGTCTACAGACACAATGTTTTCCACTGCTAAAACTGACAATGGAACCCAGGTACAGTGGCCATTACAGGTCTACAGACACAATGTTTTCCACTGCTAAAACCGAAAATGGAACCCGGGTACAGTGACCATTACAGGTCTACAGACAGACACTATGTTTTCCACTGCTAAAACTGACAATGGAACCCAGGTACAGTGGCCATTACAGGTCTACAGACACAATGTTTTCCACTGCTAAAACTGACAATGGAACCCAGGTACAGTGGCCATTACAGGTCTACAGACAATGTTTTCCACTGCTAAAACTGACAATGATAATGTATGCCTCATCACACAAGACATAGCCTACAAACAACAATAGAAAAAGTTCTTCACAGCTTGTGGATTTTATACAGTTTTCACTGAAATGTGTTCATTATCTAAACTCATCACCACCTAGTCGCAACATCTACGTCAAGGGAGATAACTCCACTTTATTTCTTTTAGGAATACAGATCTCTCCTATTGTACATCTCGGGGAAAATACACGTAATTTTCCACAAACGAAACTCTGTAGAATAAGGACAACACAACCAAAATGACTTATATGATATACACATAACAGACCATATAAACGTTTTCTGATAAAGGTTTTAGTGCCACCACAGTTAAGCATTACAATTTCAGTGTCATAAAGGTGGCACCACAACACAAAAACAGGAATAATTCACCAAGACAATGATTTAAAAAAAAAATCTCATTGTTATAATCTCAGGTAAGATAAAGACAGGGTCGCTACACATGTCAGACGAGTCATCAATAGTCATCTGTAGAGGAATCCGTTTAACAACATTACATATCTACAAATATCACATTTTGCATATGGCACTAACTATTGCCAGATATATTACAATAATACATAAAACAAGACAGACATTCTGATACAACTTTCGTCCATTACCTAACATTAAGGCCTAGTGGCCTTGAGATACCGAGGTCACCTGAACTAAGCAATTTTTTAAAGGGTAAGTAGCTTTCAAGTGTCATGAAAAAGAAATAGTGACATTGATGATAGTAAGCCAAGGTCAATCATGCGTACCATCAAAAACATCAACCTATAATAATAATTGTTATAGTGGGAAATAAACAATGCTATGTTCAACAACGCAGTTTACTACAAAAATTACAGTACAGTTAAAATCCTCCCCAGTTGAAATTGACGTCAATTTGACACTTTTGGCCCCACCCATCTGTCAAGATCATGGACATAGCTGTCATCCCTCACTCATAGTTCTAATCAAGTTTGAAATATTTCCGATGGAAGTTAAACAATGATGCTCAAAGTTCTATTTTTTCTATACAAACTAGTAAACTTTACCCCCTCCCCATGGGGAAATGTGAGACTCTGGGGCCATGAAATTCACAATTTAGGTAAAGCATCTTAAGATGCTCCCATCCATGAGTATTTAATTCTACAATATCTGGGTGTTGAGAAGAAGATTTTTGAAATCTGAGTCAATTTGACCCTTTTGACCACGCCCATCAGCCAGGAAAAACATGGGCATACTATCTAGCTGTCATCCTTCGCTCAAAATTCTACCCAAGTTTGAAATATTTCAAATGGAAATTAAACAAATTAGGCTCAAAAATCTAATTCTCCTATATAAACTGTAGTAAACTTTCTGAGAAGAAGTTGAAAATTTGAATTGTTTACGGGTGCACAACGCACAACACCGGACAATGGTGATTGCAATGGGTCACCATGAGACTCAGGTGACCTAGAAACCTCTCATTCTTCCTACCACAACTCTTTCTGGTTTGATTAACTAGTTATCCATGTATTCAGATCTAGAAACATTTTCAGATCTATTTGTAAAGATTTTCAGATCAATCTGTAAAGAATTTCAGATCTGAGATCAATATGTAAAGAATTTCAGATTTTCAGATCAATCTGTAAAGAATTTCAGATCAATCTGTAAAGAATTTCAGATTTTCAGATCAATCTGTAAAGAATTTCAGATTTTCAGATCAATCTGTAAAGAATTTCAGATTTTCAGATCAATCTGTAAAGAATTTCAGATCTGAGATCAATCTGTAAAGAATTTCAGATTTTCAGATCAATCTGTAAAGAATTTCAGATCAATCTGTAAAGAATTTCAGATCAATCTGTAAAGAATTTCAGATCAATCTGTAAAGAATTTCAGATTTTCAGATCAATCTGTAAAGAATTTCAGATCAATCTGTAAAGAATTTCAGATTTTCAGATCAATCTGTAAAGAATTTCAGATCTGAGATCAATCTGTAAAGAATTTCAGATTTTCAGATCAATCTGTAAAGAATTTCAGATCTGAGATCAATCTGTAAAGAATTTCAGATTTTCAGATCAATCTGTACCAAGAATTTCAGATCAATCTGTAAAGAATTTCAGATCAATCTGTAAAGAATTTCAGATCAATCTGTAAAGAATTTCAGATCAATCTGTAAAGAATTTCAATTTTTTTCAGATCAATCTGTAAAGAATTTCAGATCAATCTGTAAAGAATTTCAGATTTTCAGATCAATCTGTAAAGAATTTCAGATCAATCTGTAAAGAATTTCAGATTTTCAGATCAATCTGTAAAGAATTTCAGATCAATCTGTAAAGAATTTCAGATCAACAGTAGATTCACATATCAGTTACAGATTTAGTAGTAGAAATAGCTACTTAAGATTTCAATATGTACAGCATAAATAAAGGGAGATAATATCTCAGAGCTCTGTAAACATTCAGCATTACACCAGTCGCCTCGATGTCCCTGGTGTACATCACTTCTAACCAGTCACCAATTAATTACTCTTATTTAAATCATAAGTTTTCCTCACTACAATGAATCAAAATACTGCACAAAGACAGGAAGTTTTCTCCTCACACAGAGACGTACAGAGTTTTTGTTGTTCTAACAATTTTTTTCATTGAAGTCTTGAAATCTAATTTTATGTTCAATGCATCTAATTTTCACAAAATGATTCCATATTAGAAAAGAGTGAAACATAGACCTTCTGGAAAATAACCATGTTACCGTAAATTTGATGGTGAATGAAAAATAAACATTTAGGATTTCACTTGTAAATGATTTTGAAAACTTATGGTTTGTATTCATGAACACGGGTGATAGGTGAATTGATGTAAAGATTTCCATGCCCTGTCAAGTTACATCCATGTCATATTGCTACATCAGTGTCCTCCTCAGTCAGGAGGAGCTCGCGTCCTTGATAACGTGCTCCTCGCTTACGGATTATCACCACAACAGCAATGATGATTGCTGCTACGAGGACGAGACCACCAACTGAACCTCCAATTATCATGGCAGTTTCTGCAAAGTAAAGGTGGAAATAACTTAGTTAGATAGTGAAAAAAAAAAAAACAATTGTAGGGCATATACTAGAGATTATAACAACTGTCAGACCCTCCCTGTTGTCAGTGTGACTACAGTATCACTGTCAGACCCTCCCTGTTGTCAGTGTGACTACAGTATCACTGTCAGACCCTCCCTGTTGTCAGTGTGACTACAGTGTCACTGTCAGACCCTCCCTGTTGATCATCAGTGTGACTACAGTGTCACTGTCAGACCCTCCCTGTTGTCAGTGTGACTACAGTGTCACTGTCAGACCCTCCCTGTTGATCATCAGTGTGACTACAGTGTCACTGTCAGACCCTCCCTGTTGTCAGTGTGACTACAGTGTCACTGTCAGACCCTCCCTGTTGATCATCAGTGTGACTACAGTGTCACTCTCAGACCCTCCCTGTTGATCATCAGTGTGACTACAGTGTCACTGTCAGACCCTCCCTGTTGTCAGTGTGACTACAGTGTCACTGTCAGACCCTCCCTGTTGTCAGTGTGACTACAGTGTCACTGTCAGACCCTCCCTGTTGTCAGTGTGACTACAGTGTCACTGTCAGACCCTCCCTGTTGTCAGTGTGACTACAGTGTCACTGTCAGACCCTCCCTGTTGATCATCAGTGTGACTACAGTGTCACTGTCAGACCCTCCCTGTTGTCAGTGTGACTACAGTGTCACTGTCAGACCCTTCCTGTTGATCATCAGTGTGACTACAGTGTCACTGTCAGACCCTCCCTGTTGATCTTGAATATGATTATAGTATTACTACCAATACTGATGGTTAAGAACATACTGATTCCAGGGGGACTACAAAACTGCCTTTATTACCGTAAATATTCGCGTATAGTACTAAAACTATGTCACTTTTGATTTCTACTTACTGTTCATCCCAGGGGTGGAAGTAGGCTGGTGCTGACTGGCAGGCTGAGGAATTGCTGGTTTGGTTGGATTTGATGTATCAAGGGGGATTTTTAATATAGCTGAAACATTGACAAAAGAAAAGTCAGGGCAACCTAAACACAGTCAGACAATGCTGCTTTACAGACATAAAGAGTGTTGAAAAAATTAGATCATTCAAGATAAACCGGGGAATATAGACCAATCAGTGTAGATATACAGGGGAATATAGACCAATCAGTGTAGATATACAGGGGAATATAGACCAATCAGTGTAGATATACAGGGGAATATAGACCAATCAGTGTAGATATACAGGGGAATATAGACCAATCAGTGTAGATATACAGAGAGTTATAGACCAATCAGTGTATATATACAGGGGAATATAGACCAATCAGTGTAGATATACAGGGGAATATAGACCAATCAGTGTAGACATACAGGGAATTATAGACCAATCAGTGTAGATATACAGGGGAATATAGACCAATCAGTGTAGATATACAGGGGAATATAGACCAATCAGTGTAGATATACAGGGGAATATAGACCAATCAGTGTAGATATACAGGGGAATATAGACCAATCAGTGTAGATATACAGAGAGTTATAGACCAATCAGTGTAGATATACAGGGGAATATAGACCAATCAGTGTAGATATACAGGGGAATATAGACCAATCAGTGTAGATATACAGGGGAATATAGACCAATCAGTGTAGATATACAGGGGAATATAGACCAATCAGTGTAGATATACAGGGGATTATAGACCAATCAGTGTAGATATACAGGGGAATATAGACCAATCAGTGTAGATATACAGGGGAATATAGACCAATCAGTGTAGAATATACAGGGAATATAGACCAATCAGTGTAGATATACAGGGGAATATAGACCAATCAGTGTAGATATACAGGGGAATATAGACCAATCAGTGTAGATATACAGGGGAATATAGACCAATCAGTGTAGATATACAGGGGAATATAGACCAATCAGTGTTGATATACAGGGGAATATAGACCAATCAGTGTAGATATACAGGGGATTATAGACCAATCAGTGTAGATATACAGGGGATTATAGACCAATCAGTGTAGATATACAGGGGAATATAGACCAATCAGTGTAGATATACAGGGGATTATAGACCAATCAGTGTAGATATACAGGGGAATATAGACCAATCAGTGTAGATATACAGGGGAATATAGACCAATCAGTGTAGATATACAGGGGAATATAGACCAATCAGTGTAGATATACAGAGAGTTATAGACCAATCAGTGTAGATATACAGGGGAATATAGACCAATCAGTGTAGATATACAGGGGAATATAGACCAATCAGTGTAGATATACAGGGGAATATAGACCAATCAGTGTAGATATACAGGGGATTATAGACCAATCAGTGTAGATATACAGGGGAATATAGACCAATCAGTGTAGATATACAGGGGAATATAGACCAATCAGTGTAGATATACAGGGGAATATAGACCAATCAGTGTAGATATACAGGGGAATATAGACCAATCAGTGTAGATATACAGGGGAATATAGACCAATCAGTGTAGATATACAGGAATTATAGACCAATCAGTGTAGATATACAGGGGAATATAGACCAATCAGTGTAGATATACAGGGGAATATAGACCAATCAGTGTAGATATACAGGGGAATATAGACCAATCAGTGTAGATATACAGGGGAATATAGACCAATCAGTGTAGATATACAGAGAATTATAGACCAATCAGTGTAGATATACAGGGGAATATAGACCAGTCAGTGTAGATATACAGGGGAATATAGACCAATCAGTGTAGATATACAGGGGAATATAGACCAGTCAGTGTAGATAAACATATGATAGATCAAATAGTTCTTAAATAAATCTTATTCATTCAGAAATCAGCTATAATTTCTAGTAAAGGGATCAATACTTACGCCCGATAGTCTTCTTTCCAACAAACTGGCAGATGCCATGAGAGGACAACTGGTAGTCATATGCACACAGACATCGACTGCTAAAGCAGGCCTCACCTTGGCTACACTGTGGTTTTCCCAATGACCCAAACTCACAGGACTTATTGTATGTTGCTATAATATTAACAAAATGACATTTACAAAACAGATATTATCTATAACATCTAAAAGACTGGGAATGTTAATATCTCTAACCTTTAACACACAGGTGATGTTGATATTTATAGTCTCTAACACATAGGTGGTGTTACTATTTATAACCTCTAACACACAGGTGATGTTACTATTTATAACCTCTAACACACAGGTGATGTTACTATTCATAACCTCTAACACACAGGTAGTGTTACTATATATAACTTTTAACACACAGGTTATGTTACTATTTATAACCTCTAACACACAGGTAGTGTTACTATATATAACTTCTAACACACAAGTTATGTTACTATTTATAACCTCTAACACACAGGTATATTTACTATTCATAACCTCTAACACACAGGTAGTGTTACTATTTATAACCTCTAACACACAGGTAGTGTTACTATTTATAAACTCTAACACAGGTTGTGTTACTATTTATAACCTCTAACACACAGGTAGTGCTACTATTTATGACCTCTAACACACAGGTAGTGTTACTATTTATAACCTCTAACACACAGGAAATGTTACTATTTATAAACTCTAACACACAGGTAGTGTTACTATTTATAACCTCTAACACACAGGTGATGTTACTATTTATAACCTCTAACACACAGGTAATGTTACTATTTATAACCTCTAACACAGGTAGTGTTACTATTTATAACCTCTAACACACAGGTAGTGTTACTATTTATAACCTCTAACACACAGGTGATGTTACTATTCATAACCTCTAACACACAGGTGATGTTACTATTTATAATCTCTAACACACAGGTGATGTTACTATTTATAACCTCTAACACACAGGTGATGTTACTAATTATAACCTCTAACACACAGGTGATGTTACTATTTATAACCTCTAACACACAGGTGATGTTACTATTTATAACCTCTAACACACAGGTGATGTTACTATTTATAACCTCTAACACACAGGTAATGTTACTATTTATAACCTCTAACACACAGGTGATGTTACTATTTATAACCTCTAACACACAGGTGATGTTACTATTTATAACCTCTAACACACAGGTGATGTTACTATTTATAACCTCTAACACACAGGTGATGTTACTATTTATAACCTCTAACACACAGGTAATGTTACTATTTATAACCTCTAACACACAGGTAATGTTACTATTTATAACCTCTAACACATTGGATCAGTCGGAATTGTTCAGTTCTGATTTATCTTAGTTAATTGAACATGTATGTTTCAAATACTGTTGAGTCAAATTTCCTGGCTTCGTTTCGCAGGACTGAGTGTGACTGGTCAATCATATCATGGTTAACAAGCCCTACTGCAGGGCTCTCACACCCCATTTTGGGACTGGGGCCCGTGGCCCTTAGAATTGGGAAAATAATGGTGTTTTCCTTAGAATTGGGAAAACTTCGGGTCTAAATTGGGAAAAAAAGATACTATTTTGCATTGGGAATTCGGCCCCAAATCTGGCAGATCAAGAGCCCTGTATTGTAATTTTCATACAATATTTATATCAAAACTTTTGATTTCAGTGAGTTATGTGTATTAAAGTGGGTGCAGGTCCAGACACTGCAATTCAACGACGAGTGTTTCAGATTACAATTTTTGTTTTGTATGTGTACTTATAATTGTTTACTCAAATGATATCTTACTTACTTTACATATCTTGTTCTTAATTACTATTGGTAACTACTGGAGACAGAGTAAATGATGATGGTGATACTCCCCTCATTATTATAAGGTAAAAGATCTGGCCCCACTTGTATAAAACAACTCAACTTCAGATTTCCTCAAGTCGAGATTTTTCTCAGCTAATATCTCCTTGAAAATATCTTGTATGAAAATTCCTCAAGGAATTTCAGGACATCCTAGCCGATGCCTTCTTCCTGTTCCTTGAGAAAATTTTATACAAGCCGTTTTTGAGGAGATATCAGCTAAGGAAAATCTCAACTTGAGGAAATCTCAAGTTGAGATGTTTTATACAAGTGGGGCCTGGTATAATAACACCCTACCAACGTCCAGTAATTTACAATATGTACATACCTGAGGTGATTTTAATGGGTGTTGTGGTTGTTGAAACGGGCTTCGCAGTTGATACACTAGTGCCAATGAACTCATCGACATTACACACTTTTAGTGGAGATAGCGTGGAGTTGGTTGTGGTGGTACATCTAGTCACAGGGAGGTCATCAATGGTTATGATGTCTCTCTGTAAATTCTCTGGCCAGTCAGTAATCACACGGCCAAATAGAGTTGATGTTAGGCGAACACGTCCTGATATCTAGTCATGAAAATATTTGTGTTTAGCGGGAAAACAATTTTAAAGTGTGGTGACGAACCCAATATCTTGTTGTCAAAACCTACTGTGAATAATAAAATTTCTCTAAATGTTAAGCGAAGGAATAAACACAAAGTCAGCATGGGCTGACATAGATATAACAGGTTCTCACTTAGGTATATCAGGGGTTGACATAGATATAACAGGTTCTCAGTTAAGTATAGCAGGGGCTGATGTTGGTATAGCAAGGGCTGACATAGGTATAGCAGGGACTGACACAGGTAAAGCAGGGGCTGACATAGGTAGAGCAGGGGCTGACATAGGTATAGCAGGGACTGACACAGGTATAGCAGGGACTGACAGAGATATAACAGGTTCTCACTTAGGTATAGCAGGGGCTAACCAAGGGCTGACACAGGTATAGCAGGGACTGACACAGGTATAGCAGGGACTGACAGAGATATAACAGGTTCTCACTTAGGTATAGCAGGGGCTGACCAGGGGCTGACATAGGTATAGCAAGGGCTGATGTAGGTATAGCAGGAGCTGACATAAGTATAGCAGGGGCTGACACAGGTATAGCAGGGACTGACATAGGTAAAGCAGGGGCTGACATAGTTATAACAGGGACTGACACAGGAAAAGCAGGGGCTGAATAGGTATAGCATGGGCTGACATAGGTATAGCAGGGGCTGACGCAGGTATAGCAGGGACTGACATAGGTATAGCAGGGACTGACACAGGTATAGCAGGGGCTGACATAGGTATAGCAGGGGCTGACATAGATATAGCAGGGACTGACATAGGTATAGCAGGGACTGACACAGGTATAGCAGGGACTGACAGAGATATAACAGGTTCTCCCTTAGGTATAGCAGGGGCTGACCAGGGGCTGACACAGGTATAGCAGGGACTGACACAGGTATAGCAGGGACTGACAGAGATATAACAGGTTCTCACTTAGGTATAGCAGGGGCTGACACAGGTATAGGGGCTGACATAGGATATATCAAGGGCTGACATGTAGGATATAGCAGGGGCTGACATAGGTATAGCAGGGGCTGACGCAGTATACTGACATAGGTATAGCAGGGACTGACACAGATATAGCAGGGACTGACATAGGTATAGCAGGGACTGACACAGGTATAGCAGGGGCTGACATAGGTATAGCAGGGGCTGACATAGGTATAGCACGGACTGATATAGGTATAGCAGGTACTGACACAGATATAGCAGGGGCTGACATAGGTATAGCAGGGACTGACACAGATACAGCAGGGGCTGACATAGGTATAGCAGGGACTGACACAGATATAGCAGGGGCTGACATAGGTATAGCAGGGACTGACACAGGTACAGCAGGGACTGACATAGGTACAGCAGGGGCGGACAGATATAGCAGGGACTGACACAGATATAGCAGGGGCTGACATAGGTATAGCAGGGACTGACATAGGTATAGCAGGGACTGACATAGATATAGCAGGGACTGACATAGGTATAGCAGGGGCTGACATAGGTATAGCAGGTACTGACATAGATATAGCAGGGACTGACATAGATATAGCAGGGACTGACATAGGTATAGCAGGGACTGACATAGGTATAGCAGGGACTGACACAGATATAGCAGGGACTGACATAGATATAGCAGGGACTGACATAGGTATAGCAGGGGGTGATTTGGATGCTGTAGGTTTATCTCAAAGAAGTGTTATATCATTATTGTTTCCAATTTGATCTAATTAAATCTACATATTATAAACGGGGATGTGGTCACTTCTTTAACTCCAGGTCCATGTTTAGACCCATCTCTGCGATGACCCACTTCAATAAACATCATCACGGAAGGTATATGCAATCACAGTGGTTTCCATATCAATATCACACAAACCTACCCTGAAGGCGAAGCTTGTAGCATTCTTTCTCCGCAGTTCCACATATAGCTCAACTTCAGCTGTGTTATTTCCAACTTTCTTACTCAGACCTACAAAGAAAGTAATCTAATCAAGTCTACAGCATTAAACACAAAAAGCCCAGAGAGCATATTAGGATTCACCATTTCCTAAATCTAACTTCAGTGAAATTAAAACATAGTATATAAAGTTAAGTAAGATTTTTCTAAAGTTTTACATCTATGAGGCTGTGGGAGATGAATACACATATTAAAGAAGATGAATTCAAAGTTCAAACAAACATGAAAATCAACCAAACATTCAAGCACACAATTCCATCCTAATTGACAAGCCATCAGACTGATTTACCTGGTACTGGGATGCTGTCGTTGTGGACTACCATCTGATGAATGCTGCTGTTAAGGGTAGGCAGCTGTAAGCTGAATTCCATGGCGGGAGGGTTGTTACAGTGATGGAAAATCAACCCCAGACACACATTAAACTCGATACTGACAAACTGTAGAGAAATAAAAGTAATTGGTCAGATTTGAACAGATCTCTGACAAACTGTAGACATACATCAGTAATTGTACAGGCTGGGAGACAGACCTCTGTCAAACTGTAGACACACATCAGTAATTGTACAGACTGGGACAGACCTCTGACAAACTGTAGACACACATCAGTAATTGTACAGGCTGGGACAGATCTCTGACAAACTGTAGACACACATCAGTAATTGTACAGACTGGGACAGACCTCTGACAAACTGTAGACACACATCAGTAATTGTACAGACTGGGACAGACCTCTGACAAACTGTAGACATACATCAGTAATCGTACAGACTGGGACAGACCTCTGACAAACTGTAGACACACATCAGTAATTGTACAGACTGGGACTGATCTCTGACAAACTGTAGACACACATCAGTACTTGTACAGACTGGGACAGACCTCTGACAAACTGTAGACACACATCAGTACTTGTACAGACTGGGACAGACCTCTGACAAACTGCAGACATACATCAGTAATTGTACAGACTGGGACAGATCTCTGACAAGCTGTAGACACACATCAGTAATTGTACAGACTGGGACAGACCTCTGACAAACTGTAGACACACATCAGTAATTGTACAGACTGGGACAGACCTCTGACAAACTGTAGACACACATCAGTAATTGTACAGACTGGGACAGATCTCTGACAAACTGTAGACACACATCAGTAATTGTACAGGCTGGGAGACAGACCTCTGACAAGCTGTAGACACACATCAGTAATTGTACAGACTGGGACAGATCTCTGTCAAACTGTAGACACATCAGTAATTGTACAGACTGGGACAGACCTCTGACAAACTGTAGACACATCAGTAATTGTACAGACTGGGACAGATCTCTGTCAAACTGTAGACACATCAGTAATTGTACAGACTGGGAGACAGACCTCTGACAAGCTGTAGACACACATCAGTAATTGTACAGACTGGGACAGATCTCTGTCAAACTGTAGACACACATCAGTACTTGTACAGACTGGGACAGATCTCTGACAAACTGTAGACACACATCAGTAATTGTACAGGCAGTGAAATAATGACCTGTTACAATATGAAGGTAATTCTAAAACTCAGGAGTTTGTACCCCAGTTCTTTCTCTGGGTAGACAGCATCAGCCGTTGTTGCTTGTTGCTGGGAAGTCAAGGCCAAGATTTATCACTGGGAATGCAATATGAGTTGTTGTTTGTTGTTAGGAATTTGGAGGCAAGAGATATCCCAAGGAAGGCAGAATGAGCTGTTGTTTGTTGTTCAGGGTTTTGGAGTGAGAACTATCCCTAGGGAGGCAGCATGAGCTGTCGTTTGTTGTTCAGGGTTTTGGAGTGAGAACTATCCCTAGGGAGGCAGCATGAGCTGTCATTTGTTGTTGGGGGTTTTGGAGTGAGAACTATCCCTAGGGAGGCAGCATGAGCTGTCGTTTGTTGTTCAGGGTTTTGGAGTGAGAACTATCCCTAGGGAGGCAGCATGAGCTGTCATTTGTTGTTGGGGGTTTTGAAGTGATAGCTAACCCTAGGGAGGCAGCATGAGCTGTTAATTGTTGTTCGGGGTTTTGTGTTGTGGTGCTTGGAGATCCTGAGTGACAACTATTCCCATCACTTACATCTAAGATATATCTGCCTCCACAGTCCAGCTGTTCACACTTGTCATGACTGTGATCCTTACAGGCTATGTTCACACCCTTCCCCTGTCTGCCCTGATACTGGTTGATGCCTTTGGACAGCCTTGTCCATGGGGCACACTGACGCAGAGACTCTTGAGGAGAAGGCTGGCTTTCCACGCCATATATCAGAAAACCTGTCCAAAAACAACAGCATAGGTCACAGCGAGCTGGAACCTTTCATTTCTTCATAGAAATAATGTTACACATACAACATTACAAAAAAAATGTTTTTAACGTATTGTATGAGGCTAGCGAAATAAATAATATTTATGCTTTAAATGGAAAGTGTTCATCATGGGGAAATTACAGGCATATACTTCATTCAGGCATTTAACAAAGCAATGAGTATAATGTTACACTACAATAACATTAGAAATTGTTGTAGTGTATAAAACATCTATAAACATTAATGACATTACACCTTAAATGGGGATTATTCATGGTATTACCTCCCCTTAATATTTGTTTTATAACAAAATGATGTAATCTGCAAGATGTTAAAATAAAGTGTAAATTGCCTGGAGATGGCTGTAAGGCCTGATTATATTAGTGAAACACAACGACTGATGTGCCCACTTCAATGTATTTCAATCTTCAGAATGGCTTCACATGATCTCAAACTCAGTTTTCATTAAAATTCACAGAAATATATTCTAGATCACAAAACAAAAATAATATGAGGTTAGTTTGGCATCATATTTGTGCGTGTTGATTATGCATAAACCATAAAGAAGAAAATACAATTTAATTATGACACAACAATATTTATAAAATATAACATTAAACTACTGTAGAGTTGTAGTTAACTTTATACTGAACAGTTGTAGTTAACTTTATACTGAACAGTTGTAGGTTAACTTTATACTAAACAGTTGTAGTTAACTTTATACAGAACAGTTGTAGTTAACTTTATACTGAACAGTTGTAGTTAACTTTATACTGAACAGTTGTAGTTAACTTTATACTGAACAGTTGTAGTTAACTTTATACTGAATAGTTGTAGTTAACTTTATACTGTACAGTTGTAGTTAACTTTATACAGAACAGTTGTAGTTAACTTTATACTGTACAGTTGTAGTTAACTTTATACTGTACAGTTGTAGTTAACTTTATACTGAACAGTTGTAGTTAACTTTATACTGAACAGTTGTAGTTAACTTTATACTGTACAGTTGTAGTTAACTTTATACTGAACAGTTGTAGTTAACTTTATACTGAACAGTTGTAGTTAACTTTATACTGCACAGTTGTAGTAAACTTTATACAGAACAGTTGTAGTTAACTTTATACTGTACAGTTGTAGTTAACTTTATACTGAACAGTTGTAGGTTAACTTTATACTGAACAGTTGTAGTTAACTTTATACTGAACAGTTGTAGTTAACTTTATACTGTACAGTTGTAGGTTAACTTTATACTGAACAATTGTAGGTTAACTTTATACTAAACAGTTGTAGTTAACTTTATACTAAACAGTTGTAGTTAACTTTATACTGTACATTTGTAGTTAACTTTATACTGTACAGTTGTAGTTAACTTTATACTAAACAGTTGTAGTTAACTTTATACTGTACAGTTGTAGTTAACTTTATACTGAACAGTTGTAGTTAACTTTATACTGAACAGTTGTAGTTAACTTTATACTGAACAGTTGTAGTTAACTTTATACTGAACAGTTGTAGTTAACTTTATACTGAACAGTTGTAGTTAACTTTATACTGTACAGTTGTAGGTTAACTTTATACTGAACAGTTGTAGTTAACTTTATACTGAACAGTTGTAGGTTAACTTAATACTGAACAGTTGTAGTTAACTTTATACTAAACAGTTGTAGTTAACTTTATAATGAACAGTTGTAGTTAACTTTATACTGAATAGTTGTAGTTAACTTTATACTGAACAGTTGTAGTTAACTTTATACTGAACAGTTGTAGTTAACTTTATACTGAACAGTTGTAGGTTAATTTTATGGTCTGGATAATCAGCATTCTATTTATCTGTCACACTGGTTACATTCAAAGCATGCATGTATGTTAATTCAATGAGGCCGAGAACTAAACTAAAAAAAGGAAAAAATAAAATCATATATATGATCGACTTTTGACAGCTGGCTTCCTGGAACTTTTTGCATTTAGAACTGTGTGAACTAACAATGGTTTAAAAAGTATCATGTCCTACAAAATATTTGTTCAAGCATTTATGTATATTTGTACGTCTGATTTCCTGCTTATGTGATTTCCTGATTAAAGTGTGTGACTAAAACACAGAATGATACAATTAATACGGAACAGGGAAACATGGCACTGCGGATGGCAGCATATTCTATGTTACAATGTATAGTGCTATCATCACTAGTCCCTGTGAGCATTAACTACCATGCAAGTGTGTCTTGAAATTCTATCAAATTGACAAAACACAATGTATTGACAGATGTTTCTAGTTTGAGAAAATACAAAAAAATATTACTTTGCATTATTTGCATCTCATAGACATGAGCTTACCCTAAAGCAGTGCATATTTTATATTATTGACAACAAATATAATTTGGCATCTTTTCAATAATTAAACAGGTTCTACTCTAAATATAACACATACAGAATATATGGTCAGTGTCAAAAAATATAAGCCACATTTTCAAGAGGGTGAATAAAGACAAAAAAGGTGATCCTCTGGCAAGCCGTTTTGTTTGTTATTTATTTTATTTTATGACACTGACCGTTCTGTGTGTGTTACATTTCTGTCCCGAGCCAAAATACAACTTATATTTGAAGGCACTGATCATGTATTCTATTTATCCTGCAACACCGATTGAAAATCAGACAATCAAAACTTCATCAATTCTATTGCTCAGTCTTTGTTTACCTGACATTACGCTGTATTGGGACTCAGATATCTGAGACCTTGACTCATGATTTTCCTGTGGGACTCGCTCAAATTTTGAAGACAAACAATATTTCTTAGCAATATAAATGGGATTTATTAAAATTTCAGTAAAGTGTTCTGGACTCATCGGAAAAATCCGACAAAAATACTTAAGTTGGGACACTACTTCACTATATATGCTTTAATATTAGTTGTGTTTGCCTTATCAATACAGGTTACATACAGGCATAATACTTATATATATATATATCAAGAAATTTAAATAACAAATATCGGTTACAATTTATTGAAAAAGTTGAACAACCCGATGGATTGATTCGCTAACTTTAAATCGTGTTCCAGGGTCAAGTATAGTCTTACTTGATCAAATTAATCATATATACATGTACTAATTTATATTTACGCATAAGTATTTATCACTAATTTTGCTGAATTAATTTTTCTCTGGTCATGTGATGAGGTGTAGAGATCGTTCACCTGTGACCAGGTGACAATAAACAAGATCGTATCGAACAGAAACCAGTGCAATTCTAGTATTACATCCATACATTATATTACTAAAATATGACTGAATATGACAAGTCTACTGTCAATAAAAACATTACCAGTAACCGTGAGCCAAACGTGAAATAGCCACTGTACTCCCATCCTGAGTGTCTTCCTCGTATGTTGGGTAAATTGAAATTACAAACTGTCAGATGTAAACGACATGCAGGGCCAACAAGTAATTGCACCAAGCCAGACATTATCAGATTTTTCTCCAAATACATATTATAGAAGTGTTTCCTGTATCTTATCCAGAATTATTGACTATTTTTCCTTGCTGGTTCTATAGTATGACGGATAAATTTGTATTTCGTTTTAAATATGCCGTAATATTTATTTCCCATGTAAACAGAACATGTAAACAGTGGTTAAACATGTCTTTCTCTTTCGTTTTGCAATATGTTAAGCAATAATTTTAGAAGATAGTACATTAAATAATATACATATATATATTATGAACTTCCAACGAGAAAGTAGTATTATTCATCGCACACACATACCCCAAGTCGTTCATTCCCCTACTTGGCATAGCCTATAATACGCAAATAAGCATCGATCGGTGGCTACGTATTAGATCACTTCCGGATGGAGCTGGCCTCTAAAATATTGCATCCAACTGCTGATGCTGTGTTATGTCTGTGAGACATTGACGATGGATAACGACGTATCACAGTCTTTTGTTAGAATATTCGTCAATTTAGGCAAGGACAACTTAATACACAGAGCCTGAAGCGTAACATTGACTTAGAATTCATATAAACTTTATTGTTCGCACTTCTGGGATCAAGATGAGGGCAATGTCTGATAAGTGATAGTGTATCTGATGACTACATACTGGCCAAAAAGAGTACTATATGCCATTTTTGTAAGGCGATGTTCTTACAGAAGACAATGTTAGGTCTTTAACCCCCCCCCCTTTTTTTTCATAAAGAACGAGTGGTGATTTTTTATCATATAGTATGACTATTGAATGTGCTATTTGTACATAGGTCTGTATATATTCGGTGTAGTGTACCAAATAACAAATAAGAAATATGACACAGTGTCATATGATTGAAAATGCTTAATCTCATTAAAGGATACGGACAATGTTGAATGTGACGGAGACATAATCATATGAAAACATCGGTGGCTGATTCGTTTCCAGCACCAGTTGTTGTGAGAACTTTCTGAAACTGATATGGCAGACAATAATGAAAGGTAAGACTGGTGAATTACAAAGTGAAGCTTTACCTGTTGTAGGCCAAAATAAGCTGACACAATATTGATGTATATAGATACTGTCTTTACCTATAGTAGGCCAAAATAAACTGACACAATATTGATGTATATAGATGCTGTCTTTACCTGTTGTAGGTCAAAATAAACTGACACAATATTGATGTAAAATGATGCAATCTTTACCTGTTGTAGGTGAGAATGTGTTGATGGAGTCTTTATCTGTTGTAGGTCAGAATATAGGTCAGAGTGTGTTGACGAATCTTTACCTGTTGTAGGACAGAGAGTGTTGACAAATCTTTACCTGTTGTAGGCCAGAGAGTGTTGACGAATCTTTACCTGTTGTAGGCCAGAGAGTGTTGACGAATCTTTACCTGTTGTAGGCCAGAGAGTGTTGACAAATCTTTACCTGTTGTAGGCCAGAGAGTGTTGACAAATCTTTACCTGTTGTAGGCCAGAGAGTGTTGACAAATCTTTACCTGTTGTAGACCAGAGAGTGTTGACAAATCTTTACCTGTTGTAGACCAGAGAGTGTTGACAAATCTTTACCTGTTGTAGACCAGAGAGTGTTGACGAATCTTTACCTGTTGTAGGGCAGAGAGTGTTGACGAATCTTTACCTGTTGTAGGCCAGAGAGTGTTGACGAATCTTTACCTGTTGTAGGCCAGAGAGTGTTGATGAATCGTTTGAATTCATCAATTATCCAGAGGATTATGTGGGCTATGATCCAACACAGCAAGAAAGAAAAGTTTCAGGGTCAGAACAGCTGTCCCATAACTCGGAGTATGGCTGGCTAAGCGATGGAGAGTCGTCACGAGGCACTCCTGTGACACGCGAGATGTTCCAGCAAATGTTTGATGAAGATGGGCGTATTGTGGACGAACACTCTTTACGTAAAGCTGTGTTTATGGGTAAGATTGTTCTAGCTCTCTTATGTTGTAATAATAATAAGTATTATTATAATTGAAAAAGCATTTAAATGATAATCCTAATCATGAGATTTTCTATGTTAATGACCATAGCACCTAAATAACAACTGACCTAGATATACGATGACTAAATTAGATGACCATATAAGGACATAGTACAAAATTTACATGCTGAAATATATTTGATTTAATGACCAATTCATCTGTTTTCTGGTTCTTTCTATCACCATAGTGGTTGTCTGTTATTAAAGAGTTTGAAAGAGTCAGTATTGTAAAGCTTTTAAACGATCATGCTCTAAAGATAATCTCTCCAATATGCCAGTTGTTAACTACTCTTTTTTGTTCTCCCACTTTATTTGAATAAATTCATTTGAAAAATACATTGATATTTTTTTTTGCCTTCAAAATAATTTCTTTTTAATACAAAAAAACAATTTTGGGAAAATAACGTTTTAGTTCTGAAATCAGGTGACATCATGGCCTGATTCTTGGTACCAAGATGGCATTGTCAATGTAGAAAATTGAATTGACAGCAAATATTCATTAACCAGGGGTATTTTCAGTTCATAGAACATACAAATGTGTTGTACATGTATAACATTTATAAGTTATTTCCATCGGATGTATAAAATAAAGGCGACATAATGCAGATAGAAATGACAGACTGTGAAATAGCCTGGGCCAGGTGACCAGTTACAAGGGTCCAAAGCTCAGCTGGGACATTTTTGTGACACTCAAGACAAAGTCTCATGGTGACCTATTTCTATACCCTTTTGTCAAATTAGTTAGAATAGTAAGTATAGGTTGACAGCTTGAGACACATATTGACCCATGCCCCCCAGGGGCTGATGGGCGTGGCCAAAAGGGGATCAAATTGACTGAAATTTCAAGTCATAAACTCTCCTCAATATCCAAATATAGTGGAATCAAATACTCCTCATGCATGGAAGGGTCTTACAGTAAAACTCTTCCGTCCCAGTGCCGAAAAGATTTCTTGATTTCTCTTCTCTCTTCTACACATTTACACATTTAAATTTTTTTCGTTTGTGAGTTCACTCAGGTGACTGTTCAGGCCTTTAGGCCTCTTTTTATATTCATATATGTTTTCTTTCTTATTCTCATTACATCTTATTTGCAAGTTTACTCATCACCTCTCAAACAAATGGCTAAATTATGTAAATAGCATAAATACAAAGAATGTCTACTGCTACACCAGAGACCTTGCCTCTTCAATGGAATTCTTGTTTTTGAATAAAACTGATGAATACATATATCATGTACCAAATATTGTTTCCTACATGTTTTCTATGGAATGTTTTGAATACACAACTACACGTACATGGCAGGCCAGCTTCCTACTTTCACTACACAGTCTACTTCTAACGAAATTATGGAAAACCCTGTGACACTGTATCATATGTTACAGGACCCCAATATATAGTTAAATCAAAGCACCTTTTACTAGTTAACATGTTATCTATATAAAAATACCAATTTTTATGTTGAACAGCTGTTCTGAAAAGGTCTTGACTAAATTAGATGATCTTACATCACAGAGACATTGTACAAGGTTTACTAGCTGAAATATAATCTACTTGAATTGTAATCTAAGCTGTCTGGAGTTACTTCCCTTTAAAAACCGCTCTGTAAACATTTCATTTACATTTAACACTTTTTAATCATTGAGGATGACTTGAGTTTGATCAAGATCAGTATTATCAGAATATATTATTTATCATTTTTAAACATTCATCTGTTCTTTTAAATGTAAAAATGTGTTTATATTTTGCAAATACATATATGGGCCAAAACACAGCTAACACATATATATATATATATATTTTTTTTTTATTCCAAATCTTTAATTAACACAAATGATAGACACAGCAACATATTGAACACAAAAAAAACCTTTGTGAATACTTATCACTGGTTAACTTGTAACAATAATGCATTTTTGTCTTAATGGTATGATATTATAGTTGGAGAACAAAGCCAAGTTAAGTGATGCTTAAATACATATACACACATATAAAATTGTATCCCATTTGCTACTAGTTGTTTTAGAAAACATTTACTGCGAGACTGTTTCATAACATCACTGAGATCATTCGATAATATAGAACAACTGTAGCTGGAGTGTTTAAGAATACCGTAAATTTTCGCGTATAGTGTGCACTTTTTCAAGCTAAAACTGTCGTGTCAAAAAGGGGGTGCGCATTATACACAGGAACATGCCATTCTTGGGGCTATCATTCCCGAGTTCTGTTGTTTTTGGTAAAGGAAGGTAAAAACACTGCTGGGGTAGCACTGGTTCCTCTTGTAGACACATTTCTTACATATGAAAGCATTGAGTATATAACATTTGGAGCCATTTTAGAATTTTGACAAAATTCAGCTTTCCCAAATTCATAAAGATCGGAAAAAAACATTCAAAAAAGTCTGAGATTATAGAAAAATGTACAAGGATAAAAATATTTTTATTTTTGAGTGAAATCCTGGCAGCTGGTAAATTTTGCAACTTTTAATTCTTTCATTTATTTTTATATGCCGCTGGAGGCGGTTGTATATTGGAGTCATCTTCTCCGTCTGTCTGTCCGTACGTCCTTTTATTGTGAACGCAACTCCTCCTAAACTAATCATCAGATTTTCATGAAACTTGCTCAATGTCACTACTTCAATAGGTAGATGTGCATGATGGGGCAATTTTTTGATTATTTGATTTTTGTAAGATTTATGCCATATATGATTGCAGGTCCCTGTCTCTTCCAGCTAAGCTTACTGGTCTCACAGACTTCGTTTTTGTATACCGACATGTTAAAAGCGATAATTAAAAGCACCAATCTTGATCTTGATATTTTGTGGTGGAGAGTATATTGTGTCCACGGCACTCTTAAAGGAAATTTGAAGCATATGGGATGAGTTGGTAGGGCCATGAATTGATATACCAGAAACCCTAGTTTGACTGTTGGAATATGTTTTTTCCCTTTTTACCTTAAAGGAAATTTGGCTGGTTACAACATATTTACTGTCAACTGTAGCTTCTATCACTGAAGGAGCATGCTTCTGTTATGTAAGAGTTTAGCTGAGTTGGTAAGGCCATGAATTGACTATTGATTCCAGGCACTGATCAGCAGGAATGTGTTTTCCTTTCACAGTATAGATGGAGTTAACCAGCCATCCAATGGAAGTTGGGTGGTGGGGTTACAAAAAAATTACTACAGTGTTTTATGTGGGGTTCACAAATTCATCAGACGACAGGTTTTATAACAGAATTTTGTGTTTAAGGTGGAGTTAATGTTTCCATCAGACGACAGGTTTTATAACAAAAATTTTGTGTTTAAGATGGTGTCGACATTTCCATCAGACGACAGGTTTTATAACAGAATTTTGTGTTTAAGGTGGTGTCGACGTTTCCATCAGACGACAGGTTTTATAACAGAATTTTGTGTTTAAGGTGGTGTCGACGTTTCCATCAGACGACAGGTTTTATAACAGAATTTTGTGTTTAAGGTGGTGTCGACGTTTCCATCAGAAGGGAGGTTTGGCAGTTCCTATTTGGACTATACCCCTGTACTTCTACTGCCAGGTAAAGTATCACACTTTCAGTGAAGGAAATGTTATTAGAAGGAAATTTTTGAGTTAACCATTTCTAGACGAGAATTTTATTTAGAAATCTCAGGTTTTTGTAATGTCAATTGGTATGTTACTTGGTTTGTCAGCATCTGTCCAATCTTTCTCACTTGACAAATTCTAGTACTCTACTTAAGATAAGTATGTTTGACTTCACCGACACCCCAGGTTACTACTACTAATCATGTATTAGGACTGATTAATACATCAACAGGTGACACCGGGGCAAAGCTAAAATAAGTTTTAATGAAAAATTAGTCATCACACAGCTGTTTTAAAACCCACCATCAGAACCTGATGAAGGACTTGTGACATTTTTGTTTTCAGATGGAAAGGTCAAAAACATACATATTGTAACGATTAACAGGTGTTTTCAGCACTTTTATATATCTGCTGTGTACAATTGGTTATGCTGGTTGACGTCAACATCTGTATTGTATCCAGTTGGAAAAATTATTTGTTTTTTCTTCAAATATACCTGTATGATGTAAATTCAACAGTATTGGCATGAAAGGAAATTGATAATCACATAAATATATAGTAAGCAGGAGATGATATATGTTTGAAACAAATCCTCTCACATTTTGACCATTAGTGTTACTGTATATACAGAAATCTGTAGGACCTTTAACCATTTGGATTTTACATAAAATCACTGACATGAGTGTGTTTAGACAGGAAGGAAGGTACCAGGACATTCTGACAAAATCTTGTGGTTGATGTGATAGATATATCATAAAAACCATGTGGAGAAGGAGACTTAGTTTGTTATTGATAGTTATAAACGAGACCCATACTCCTCGACTCATTTACTTTAGAGCTGTTTAAAAGTTTGTTGTTGATCGTTATAAACGAGACCCATACTCCTCGACTCATTTACTCTAGAGCTGTTTAAAAGTTTGTTATTGATATTTATAAACGAGACCCATACTCCTCGACTCATTTACTCTAGAGCTGTTTAAAAGTTCGTTGTTGGTAGTCATAAACGAGACCCATACTCCTCGAATCATTTACTCTAGAGCTGTTTAAAAGTTTGTTAGCGATCATTATAAACGAGACCCATACTCCTCGACTCATTTACTCTAGAGCTGTTTAAAAGTTTGTTGTTGATCGTTATAAACGAGACCCATACTCCTCGACTCATTTACTCTGGAGCTGTTTAAAAGTTTGTTGTTGATCGTTATAAACGAGACCCATACTCCTCAACTCATTTACTCTAGAGCTGTTTAAAAGTTTGTTGTTGGTAGTCATAAACGAGACCCATACTCCTCAAATCATTTACTCTAGAGCTGTTTAAAAGTTTGTTATTGATATTTATAAATGAGACCCATACTCCTCGACTCAATTACTCTAGAGCTGTTTAAAAGTTCGTTGTTGATCGTTATAAACGAGACCCACACTCCTCGACTCAATTACTCTAGAGCTGTTTTAAAGTTTGTTATTGATATATTTATAAACGAGACCCATACTCCTCGAATCATTTCCTCTAGAGCTGTTTAAAAGTTTGTTGTTGGTAGTTATAAACAAGACCCACACTCCTCGACTCAATTACTCTAGAGCTGTTTAAAATACTCCTCGACTCAATTACTCTAGAGCTGTTTAAAAGTTTGTTAGCGATCATTATAAATGAGACCCATACTCCTCGAATCATTTCCTCTAGAGCTGTTTAAAAGTTTGTTGTTGGTAGTCATAAACGAGACCCATACTCCTCGACTCATTTACTCTAGAGCTGTTTAAAAGTTTGTTGTTGATCGTTATAAACGAGACCCATACTCCTCGACTCATTTACTCTAGAGCTGTTTAAAAGTTCGTTGTTGATCGTTATAAACGAGACCCACACTCCTCGACTCAATTACTCTAGAGCTGTTTAAAAGTTTGTTATTGATATATTTATAAACGAGACCCATACTCCTCGACTCATTTACTCTAGAGCTGTTTAAAAGTTCGTTGTTGATCGTTATAAACGAGACCCACACTCCTCGACTCAATTACTCTAGAGCTGTTTAAAAGTTCGTTGTTGATCGTTATAAACGAGACCCACACTCCTCGACTCAATTACTCTAGAGCTGTTTAAAAGTTCGTTTCGTTATAAACGAGACCCATACTCCTCAACTCATTTACTCTAGAGCTGTTTAAAAGTTTGTTATTGATATTTATAAACGAGACCCATACTCCTCGACTCAATTACTCTAGAGCTGTTTAAAAGTTCGTTGTTGATCGTTATAAACGAGACCCACACTCCTCGACTCAATTACTCTAGAGCTGTTTAAAAGTTTGTTAGCGATCGTTATAAACGAGACCCATACTCCTCGACTCATTTACTCTAGAGCTGTTTAAAAGTTTGTTGTTGATCGTTATAAACGAGACCCATACTCCTCGACTCATTTACTCTAGAGCTGTTTAAAAGTTTGTTGTTGATCGTTATAAACGAGACCCATACTCCTCGAATCATTTACTCTAGAGCTGTTTAAAAGTTCGTTATTGATCGTTATAAACGAGACCCATACTCCTCGACTCAATTACTCTAGAGCTGTTTTAAAAGTTTGTTATTGATATATTTATAAACGAGACCCATACTCCTCGAATCATTTCCTCTAGAGCTGTTTAAAAGTTTGTTGTTGGTAGTTATAAACAAGACCCACACTCCTCGACTCAATTACTCTAGAGCTGTTTAAAATACTCCTCGACTCAATTACTCTAGAGCTGTGTAAAAGTTTGTTGTTGATAGTTATAAACGAGACCCATACTCCTCGACTCATTTACTCTAGAGCTGTTTAAAAGTTTGTTATTGATATTTATAAACGAGACCCATACTCCTCGACTCATTTACTCTAGAGCTGTTTAAAAGTTCGTTGTTGGTAGTCATAAACGAGACCCATACTCCTCGAATCATTTACTCTAGAGCTGTTTAAAAGTTTGTTAGCGATCATTATAAACGAGACCCATACTCCTCGACTCATTTACTCTAGAGCTGTTTAAAAGTTTGTTGTTGATCGTTATAAACGAGACCCACACTCCTCGACTCAATTACTCTAGCTGTTTAAAAGCTGTTTAAAAGTTTGTTTAAAAGTTTGATTGATATTTTTAAACGAGACCCATACTCCTCGACTCATTTACTCTGGAGCTGTTTAAAAGTTTGTTGTTGATCGTTATAAACGAGACCCATACTCCTCGACTCATTTACTCTGGAGCTGTTTAAAAGTTTGTTGTTGGTAGTCATAAACGAGACCCATACTCCTCAAATCATTTACTCTAGAGCTGTTTAAAAGTTTGTTATTGATATTTATAAATGAGACCCATACTCCTCGACTCAATTACTCTAGAGCTGTTTAAAAGTTCGTTGTTGATCGTTATAAACGAGACCCACACTCCTCGACTCAATTACTCTAGAGCTGTTTTAAAGTTTGTTATTGATATATTTATAAACGAGACCCATACTCCTCGAATCATTTCCTCTAGAGCTGTTTAAAAGTTTGTTGTTGGTAGTTATAAACAAGACCCACACTCCTCGACTCAATTACTCTAGAGCTGTTTAAAATACTCCTCGACTCAATTACTCTAGAGCTGTTTAAAAGTTTGTTAGCGATCATTATAAATGAGACCCATACTCCTCGAATCATTTCCTCTAGAGCTGTTTAAAAGTTTGTTGTTGGTAGTCATAAACGAGACCCATACTCCTCGACTCATTTACTCTAGAGCTGTTTAAAAGTTCATTGTTGATCGTTATAAACGAGACCCATACTCCTCGACTCATTTACTCTAGAGCTGTTTAAAAGTTCGTTGTTGATCGTTATAAACGAGACCCACACTCCTCGACTCAATTACTCTAGAGCTGTTTAAAAGTTTGTTATTGATATATTTATAAACGAGACCCATACTCCTCGACTCATTTACTCTAGAGCTGTTTAAAAGTTCGTTGTTGATCGTTATAAACGAGACCCACACTCCTCGACTCAATTACTCTAGAGCTGTTTAAAAGTTCGTTGTTGATCGTTATAAACGAGACCCACACTCCTCGACTCAATTACTCTAGAGCTGTTTAAAAGTTCGTTGTTGATCGTTATAAACGAGACCCATACTCCTCAACTCATTTACTCTAGAGCTGTTTAAAAGTTTGTTATTGATATTTATAAACGAGACCCATACTCCTCGACTCAATTACTCTAGAGCTGTTTAAAAGTTCGTTGTTGATCGTTATAAACGAGACCCACACTCCTCGACTCAATTACTCTAGAGCTGTTTAAAAGTTTGTTAGCGATCGTTATAAACGAGACCCATACTCCTCGACTCATTTACTCTAGAGCTGTTTAAAAGTTTGTTGTTGATCGTTATAAACGAGACCCATACTCCTCGACTCATTTACTCTAGAGCTGTTTAAAAGTTTGTTGTTGATCGTTATAAACGAGACCCATACTCCTCGAATCATTTACTCTAGAGCTGTTTAAAAGTTCGTTATTGATCGTTATAAACGAGACCCATACTCCTCGACTCAATTACTCTAGAGCTGTTTTAAAGTTTGTTATTGATATATTTATAAACGAGACCCATACTCCTCGAATCATTTCCTCTAGAGCTGTTTAAAAGTTTGTTGTTGGTAGTTATAAACAAGACCCACACTCCTCGACTCAATTACTCTAGAGCTGTTTAAAATACTCCTCGACTCAATTACTCTAGAGCTGTGTAAAAGTTTGTTGTTGATAGTTATAAACGAGACCCATACTCCTCGACTCAATTACTCTAGAGCTGTTTAAAATACTCCTCGACTCAATTACTCTAGAGCTGTGTAAAAGTTCGTTGTTGATCGTTATAAACGAGACCCATACTCCTCGACTCAATTACTCTAGAGCTGTTTAAAAGTTTGTTGTTGATCGTTATAAACAAGACCCACACTCCTCGACTCAATTACTCTAGAGCTGTTTAAAATACTCCTCGACTCAATTACTCTAGAGCTGTTTAAAAGTTTGTTAGCGATCATTATAAATGAGACCCGTACTCCTCGACTCATTTACTCTAGAGCTGTTTAAAGTAACTGGTGATCTGACAGTGGAAATAATCTCTTGGTATAGCTCTTTTGTGAACCATTTCAGGGAAAGGGAAGAACTCCTGTTGGATTACATCATGAAATATCACGAACAAAAATCTCGATGGAAAACCATGCTTGTATTGGACTCTAAGCCTGGAGGTCAGTGTCGCTAACTGTTACAGTTGTTTATAACAGGTTAAAATATTGATGAGTTATTTAACTAAGATTACAGTATTTATTTGAGATTTTGAATTATCCTGTGTTGTCTAAAATTTAAAACTTCAATCTTTAAATAGATTCTTGAATTTGCAGTTTGATCATAATTGAAATGAAATGATTGAGTTGAAACAGAACTCAAATTTCTGCAAAATGATGTAAGATAATGGAACGATGTGCTTTAATTTTAAAAAGAAATTAGATGAAAACAAAAACATCATAGTTATACATTGTGTGGCTGTAAGGTGAATGTAAATACAGTATATGTGTAATGTTACTTTTGTGTAGTAAATAGACAACACATAATTTTTTATATATATATATTGAGATGTTTGACTGTTATGGTGTTGTAAACGACAGACAAAAAAATGTTAAGAATAATTGACAGACAAAATTAAATGGTTGTAGCCACAGCACTGGAGCAGGGGCTGATAGGACGCTACCAGGTACAGGACCCTAGTAACCAGCTACAGAGTCCCACCACTCCCCCAGGTGGCATCATGTCACCAATGGAACTTCATCTCAAGAATGAGAATGCCGCCCGTATGTCTGTGGACCAACCTGACTTCAGCATCCTGTCAAAAAACTTCGCAAACATTGATGTGTCCACACCAGAAATGCGACAGAAAATTGACTTCGTGAAAATACAGTCTCAGGTATTAACTGTGGTGGTATTACAAGTCATCATCATACTAATTTGTATATATAATAGCATTTTTACTGGGCAAAGTATATTTTGACATAATTTGGAGTTACTTCCCCTTACCCATTGAAGACGATTTTACCTTATAGAAATAATAGTTCCCAGTAATATAGGTATTCAGTTGTATTAGTTTAGCAATGAATAAGCATTTTTGTTTTTGTCTCAACACAACAGAGAAGCGGAGAAACAGCAGGGTGTCAGTTTTATTAGAGATTCCAAACAGTTGTGATTAGATAAGTTTTTCAAAAAGTTGATGTACTACAATGACCAAATCTAAACACAAAATGAAATTCAGTTTATATATAGAAATATGTCTGGTTCTTCCATATAATAGAGAACAAGACTCCAATACAACACAGGTTGTAACTACCTGGTACCGCAAACTCTAATTATCAACCGAATACTTTACTTTGGAAACGGGTAGAAATAATAAAACATTTGTTGGTTTTCATCTGAGACATTGAGATGTCAGACTTTCTACAACAGACTACAGAATAAAATGTTTAACACTGATTACCTGTCAATAAGGTGAGACATTGAGATGTCAGACTTTCTACAACAGACTACAGAATAAAATGTTTAACACTGATTACCTGTCAATAAGGTGAGGCATTGAAATCTCAGACTTTCTACAGCAAACTACAGAATATAATGTTTAACATAGATTACCTGTCAATAAGGTGAGGCATTGAAATCTCAGACTTTCTACAGCAGACTACAGAATATAATGTTTAACATTGATTACCTGTCAATAAGGTGAGACATTGAAATCTCAGACTTTCTACAACAGACTACAGAATATAATGTTTAACATTGATTACCTGTTGATAAGGTGAGACATTGAAATCTCAGACTTTCTACAGCAAACTACAGAATATAATGTTTAACATTGATTACCTGTTGATAAGGTGAGAAATTGAGATGTCAGACTTGTTAATAATTTAATGTATTAAAGCGTTTATTTTTGTTTAACACAGGTGTTCGTCAACAGACAAAAGGTGGATGTAAAAAACCTATGGACACATATACGAGTGATAGACAAAGATGTTCCCCGTACAGACAGGGATCAGGAGTATTTCAGGTATCTCGGCGACCCTATTTCATTGACTGATTTTATATATGACACTTACGTGTGTATGATAAGGTCAAATTCTATTGATCACAAAACTCAAAGTATCAAAAAAAATAGTGAAAAGAGAATTTGTCTCCTTTTTATGAAAGGTGAAGTTTTGTAGAGATTTTCACAGAAACCAAGATGGCCCAGTATTGTTTTAGATGCAGTTCAGGAAGGTTTGATGTCCAAAATTTCTAAAATTTGTTATGATGATAAGTTCCAGAAAGTTTAGGATGCAATGAGTTATCTTAAAGTAAAAATCCAATTTGTTACTCTCATTTTTTGATACAGTTTCAGAATATGTGAAACAGGAAGTATTTTATTTTTACATGTTTTTTTTTTAATTTCTAAATAAACGTGAACTTTCCTTTGTTAGAATCCAGAGAAGATTTTATTACAATTACCTTATTTACATGTCTATACTACATACACGTAACTTTCTTGTTAAATCTAAAATGACTGACATTCAAACATCTACTTTCAACCAGAACATTTACCTTATGAATAAATAAATAGATAAATCAAATTGAATTATCAATTTCTGTCTCAAACAATTTTTGTATAAAACATGTCAGTTTAACACATTATGAAGCCAACTTCAGGGCTTAAGTGTCCGACAAATTGTGTAAACCAATAATATTCTGTTTATTATCACATTACACATATTATCACATTACACATATTATCACATTTACCTCAAAATGGATTCGGAACATGATATTAATCTTAATCTGCTGCATTATTGAATTGTAGAAAAAGCAATACTGACATAAAAATTACCTTAAGTAAACAGTATTAGTCCATCAGAATTTATAAAAAGAAAATCAGGTCTGTATGTAGATTTTTTTTTTAACAGTGGAGCGCAGAATCCTCACTTAACAGTGCTGCGTGACATACTTGTGACTTTCTCGGCTTTTCACCCTGTCATTGGATATGCTCAAGGAATGAATGATATTCTGGCACGATTCCTCGTGGTGTTTGATTCAGAGGTAGGAGAAATTCTGTGCTATACTATTACAGTAAAACAGATGTGTTATGAACAATTTTAACAAGTTATAACCTACATATATCAGTATTCAAAAAGGCTAAATTATATAAACAATTATAATTGTAAGATAAGTTCACTAACCCAAAATAGATCTTGTGTGTAGAGCCCTATAGGACTGTAACTTGTGTGTAGAGCCCTATAGGACTGTACCTTGTGTGTAGAGCCCTATAGGACTGTACCTTGTGTGTAGAGCCCTATAGGACTGTACCTTGTGTGTAGAGCCCTACAGGACTGTACCTTGTGTGTAGAGCCCTATAGGACTGTACCTTGTGTGTAGAGCCCTACAGGACTGTACCTTGTGTGTAGAGCCCTATAGGACTATACCTTGTGTCTAAAGCCCTGCAGGACTGTATCTTGTGTGTAGAGCCCTACAGGACTGTACCTTGTGTGTAGAGCCCTATAGGACTGTACTTTGTATCTGATGTCCTACAGTTCTGAGCCTTTTATCATGAGTCTTTGCAACCTATAGCAATTTTGTCACTTACAGGTTGAGGCCTACTGGTGCTTCCGTAACTACCTGGATCACATACAAGAGGAATTTACAGAAGATGGCATGATGAAAAAGATAAGTGAGTTATCTCCCTTGCCATATTGATAAATCCTTATTTTGTGGAGTGCCCCTATATATTACAGACTCTATTGGCCTCATTTGTTATTGACTAAGGATGGAGGGTATCTCTCTATAGCGTCAAGGACAGAACTTTGAGATATTTACCGATGTCTTCTAGACTCTAAATATTCTACAGACACGGACAAAGCATAAATAATCAACATGTGGTGAGATTTGAGAACGATATATATTTCAGTCCATGTTGTCAGCCCTAGAATTTTATTTAGTCATGAAATAATTTTTTACTCACATTTGCGTTCAAATCAATGTACAATGCTGATTCATTGTTGTAGTAAAATATTAGCCACTGGCTTCATCCGAATACATGATGTGTTGTAGATTTGGTGGTGATGCTTCTACGAGAAATGGACCAAGAGTTATTAGATCACCTAAACACACATGAACTAGGCGACCTCATGTTCTGTCACAGGTAAAGACACAATCTCTGTATCTGACCTCATGTTCTGTCACTGGTAAAGACACAATCTCTGTAGCTAACCTCATGTTCTGTCACTGGTAAAGACACAATTTCTGTAGCTAACCTCATGTTCTATCACTGGTAAAGACACAGTCTCTATAGCTAACCTCATGTTCTGTCACAGGTAAAGAGACAATCTCTGAATCTGACTTCATGCTCTATCACAGGTAAAGACACAATCTCTGTATCTGACCTAATGCTCTGTCACAGGTAAAGACAATCTCTGTATCTGACCTCATGTTCTGTCACTGGTAAAGACACAATCTCTGTAGCTAACCTCATGTTCTGTCACTGGTAAAGACACAATTTCTGTAGCTAACCTCATGTTCTATCACTGGTAAAGACACAGTCTCTATAGCTAACCTCATGTTCTGTCACAGGTAAAGAGACAATCTCTGAATCTGACTTCATGCTCTATCACAGGTAAAGACACAATCTCTGTATCTGACCTAATGCTCTGTCACAGGTAAAGACAATCTCTGTATCTGACCTCATGTTCTGTCACTGGTAAAGACACAATCTCTGTAGCTAACCTCATGTTCTGTCACTGGTAAAGACACAATTTCTGTAGCTAACCTCATGTTCTATCACTGGTAAAGACACAGTCTCTATAGCTAACCTCATGTTCTGTCACAGGTAAAGAGACAATCTCTGAATCTGACTTCATGCTCTATCACAGGTAAAGACACAATCTCTGTATCTGACCTAATGCTCTGTCACAGGTAAAGACAATCTCTGTATCTGACCTCATGTTCTGTCACTGGTAAAGACACAGTCTCTGTAGCTAACCTCATGCTCTATCACAGGTAAAGACACAATCTCTGTATCTGACCTAATGCTCTGTCACAGGTAAAGACAATCTCTGTATCTGACCTCATGTTCTGTCACTGGTAAAGACACAGTCTCTGTAGCTAACCTCATGTTCTGTCACAGGTAAAGACACAATCTCTGTATCTGACCTAATGCTCTGTCACAGGTAAAGACACAATCTCTGTATCTGACCTAATGCTCTGTCACAGGTAAAGACACAATCTCTGTATCTGACCTCATGTTCTGTCACTGGTAAAGACACAATCTCTGTAGCTAACCTCATGTTCTGTCACTGGTAAAGACACAGTCTCTGTAGCTAACCTCATGTTCTGTCACAGGTAAAGACACAATCTCTGTATCTGACCTAATGCTCTGTCACAGGTAAAGACACAATCTCTGTATCTGACCTCATGTACTGTCACAGGTAAAGACACAATTTCTGTATCTGACCTCATGTTCTGTCACAGGTAAAGACACAATCTCTGTATCTGACCTAATGTTCTGTCACAGGTAAAGACACAATCTCTGTGTCTGACCTCATGTCACGGATGACTTGTGACACACCTGTCTGATACCTGTACTCTTGTATTTTACAGATGGCTTTTACTGGGGTTTAAGAGGGAGTTCAGCTTCTCCGATTCCTTGCGATGTTTTGAAATCCTTAGCAGTCATCATTTAGAACTCTCCTCCATGGAAGCAGAAAATGCACGTCGTAAGGAAGTCATGAAAGAGTTTGAAAATTTTGGTAAGTTAGATAACACAGTGACTTGATTGTTAAGTACTATTTGTAGAGAAATATGTCTTTATGTCTTCATTATCAGGTGGCAGGCCATTCAGTTTACCCTTCATCTGTGGTCTGTAGTTCCTTGTTCATCTCCATCCATGTATAATTACTGGTACAGAACAGTAAATTAGTTTGTGTTACTGGTACAGAACAGTACATTAGTTTGTGTTACTGGTACAGAACAGTACATTAGTTTGTGTTACTGGTACAGAACAGTACATTAGTATGTGTTACTGGTACAGAACAGTACATTAGTTTGTGTATAATTACTGGTACAGAACAGTAAATTAGTTTGTGTTACTGGTACAGAACAGTACATTAGTTTGTGTATAATTACTGGTACAGAACAGTACATTAGTTTGTGTTACTGGTACAGAACAGTACATTAGTTTGTGTATAATTACTGGTGCAGAACAGTACATTAGTTTGTGTATAATTACTGGTACAGAACAGTACATTAGTTTGTGTTACTGGTACAGAACAGTACATTAGTTTGTGTTACTGGTACAGAACAGTACATTAGTTTGTGTATAATTACTGGTACAGAACAGTACATTAGTTTGTGTATAATTACTGGTACAGAACAGTACATTAGTTTGTGTTACTGGTACAGAACAGTACATTAGTTTGTGTATAATTACTGGTACAGAACAGTACATTAGTTTGTGTTACTGGTACAGAACAGTACATTAGTTTGTGTTACTGGTACAGAACAGTACATTAGTTTGTGTTACTGGTACAGAACAGTACATTAGTTTGTGTATAATTACTGGTACAGAACAGTACATTAGTTTGTGTTACTGGTACAGAACAGTACATTAGTTTGTGTTACTGGTACAGAACAGTACATTAGTTTGTGTTACTGGTACAGAACAGTACATTAGTTTGTGTTACTGGTACAGAACAGTACATTAGTTTGTGTTACTGGTACAGAACAGTACATTAGTTTGTGTGGTACAGAAAAGTACATTAGTTTGTGTTACTGGTACAGAACAGTACATTAGTTTGTGTTACTGGTACAGAACAGTACATTAGTTTGTGTTACTGGTACAGAACAGTACATTAGTTTGTGTTACTGGTACAGAAAAGTACATTAGTTTGTGTTACTGGTACAGAACAGTACATTAGTTTGTGTATAATTACTGGTACAGAACAGTACATTAGTTTGTGTATAATTACTGGTACAGAACAGTACATTAGTTTGTGTTACTGGTACAGAACAGTACATTAGTTTGTGTTACTGGTACAGAACAGTACATTAGTTTGTGTATAATTACTGGTACAGAACAGTACATTAGTTTGTGTTACTGGTACAGAACAGTACATTAGTTTGTGTTACTGGTACAGAACAGTACATTAGTTTGTGTTACTGGTACAGAACAGTACATTAGTTTGTGTATAATTACTGGTACAGAACAGTACATTAGTTTGTGTTACTGGTACAGAACAGTACATTAGTTTGTGTTACTGGTACAGAACAGTACATTAGTTTGTGTTACTGGTACAGAACAGTACATTAGTTTGTGTTACTGGTACAGAACAGTACATTAGTTTGGGTGTAACCACAGGTATTGAATGGTAGCTAAGTTTGTGTATAATTCCTGGTACAGAATGTTATGCTTCCTGATGATGTCCTACAATTGTTTTAGCGTACATATTTCCAGGAGGAGGGACACGGTCAGAGCACCTGTCAGTCAGCTTCGACTACACATTTGAGCTGTTTATGTGTCTTGCCTTACTGATGGACTGTAGAAAAGACCTCCTGAACTGTGTCGACTCTGCTATGGTGTTCTCTACAATTAACAGGTGAAAGTAACCTCACTGTCTCTCATCATCAACCTTAAAGTATAAGGGAGGTTTCCTCTCCCATAATACATAATATAATGGTACTCCCTGACTAGGACAGGAGTGATAGAGTAAAATATAATGGTACTCCCTGACTAGGAGTGATAGAGTAAAATATAATGGTACTCCCTGACTAGGAGTGATAGAGTAAAATATAATGGTACTCCCTGACTAGGAGTGATAGAGTAAAATATAATGGTACTCCCTGACTAGGACAGGAGTGATAGAGTAAAATATAATGGTACTCCCTGACTAGGACAGGAGTGATAGAGTAAAATATAATGGTCCTCCCAGACAAGGAGTGATAGAGTAAAATATAATGGTACTCCCTGACTAGGAGTGATAGAGTAAAATATAATGGTACTCCCTGACTAGGACAGGAGTGATAGAGTAAAATATAATGGTACTCCCTGACTAGGACAGGAGTGATAGAGTAAAATATAATGGTACTCCCTGACTAGGACAGGAGTGATAGAGTAAAATATAATGGTACTCCCTGAATAGGAGTGATAGAGTAAAATATAATGGTACTCCCTGACTAGGAGTGATAGAGTAAAATATAATGGTACTCCCTGACTAGGACAGGAGTGATAGAGTAAAATATAATGGTACTCCCTGACTAGGAGTGATAGAGTAAAATATAATGGTACTCCCTGACTAGGACAGGAGTGATAGAGTAAAATATAATGGTACTCCCTGACTAGGAGTGATAGAGTAAAATATAATGGTACTCCCTGACTAGGACAGGAGTGATAGAGTAAAATATAATGGTACTCCCTGACTAGGACAGGAGTGATAGAGTAAAATATAATGGTACTCCCTGACTAGGACAGGAGTGATAGAGTAAAATATAATGGTACTCCCTGACTAGGAGTGATAGAGTAAAATATAATGGTACTCCCTGACTAGGACAGGAGTGATAGAGTAAAATATAATGGTACTCCCTGACTAGGAGTGATAGAGTAAAATATAATGGTACTCCCTGACTAGGACAGGAGTGATAGAGTAAAATATAATGGTACTCCCTGACTAGGATAATGGTACTCCCTGTGATAGAGTAAAATATAATGGTACTCCCTGACTAGGACAGGAGTGATAGAGTAAAATATAATGGTACTCCCTGACTAGGACAGGAGTGATAGAGTAAAATATAATGGTACTCCCTGACTAGGACAGGAGTGATAGAGTAAAATATAATGGTACTCCCTGACTAGGACAGGAGTGATAGAGTAAAATATAATGGTACTCCCTGACTAGGACAGGAGTGATAGAGTAAAATATAATGGACTAGGAGTGATAGAGTAAAATATAATGGTACTCCCTGACTAGGAGTGATAGAGTAAAATATAATGGTACTCCCTGACTAGGAGTGATAGAGTAAAATATAATGGTACTCCCTGACTAGGACAGGAGTGATAGAGTAAAATATAATGGTACTCCCTGACTAGGACAGGAGTGATAGAGTAAAATATAATGGTACTCCCTGACTAGGACAGGAGTGATAGAGTAAAATATAATGGTACTCCCTGACAGGAGTGATAGAGTAAAATATAATGGTACTCCCTGACAAGGACAGGAGTGATAGAGTAAAATATAATGGTACTCCCTGACTAGGACAGGAGTGATAGAGTAAAATATAATGGTACTCCCTGACTAGGAGTGATAGAGTAAAATATAATGGTACTCCCTGACTAGGACAGGAGTGATAGAGTAAAATATAATGGTACTCCCTGACTAGGACAGGAGTGATAGAGTAAAATATAATGGTACTCCCTGACTAGGACAGGAGTGATAGAGTAAAATATAATGGTACTCCCTGACTAGGACAGGAGTGATAGAGTAAAATATAATGGTACTCCCTGACTAGGACAGGAGTGATAGAGTAAAATATAATGGTACTCCCCTAGGACTGGTACTCCCTGACTAGGAGTGATAGAGTAAAATATAATGGTACTCCCTGACTAGGACAGGAGTGATAGAGTAAAATATAATGGTACTCCCTGACTAGGACAGGAGTGATAGAGTAAAATATAATGGTACTCCCTGACTAGGAGTGATAGAGTAAAATATAATGGTACTCCCTGACTAGGACAGGAGTGATAGAGTAAAATATAATGGTACTCCCTGACTAGGAGTGATAGAGTAAAATATAATGGTACTCCCTGACTAGGACAGGAGTGATAGAGTAAAATATAATGGTACTCCCTGACTAGGACAGGAGTGATAGAGTAAAATATAATGGTACTCCCTGACTAGGACAGGAGTGATAGAGTAAAATATAATGGTACTCCCTGACTAGGAGTGATAGAGTAAAATATAATGGTACTCCCTGACTAGGAGTGATAGAGTAAAATATAATGGTACTCCCTGACTAGGAGTGATAGAGTAAAATATAATGGTACTCCCTGACTAGGAGTGATAGAGTAAAATATAATGGTACTCCCTGACTAGGAGTGATAGAGTAAAATATAATGGTACTCCCTGACTAGGACAGGAGTGATAGAGTAAAATATAATGGTACTCCCTGACTAGGACAGGAGTGATAGAGTAAAATATAATGGTACTCCCTGACTAGGAGTGATAGAGAGGAGTGATAGAGTAAAATATAATGGTACTACCTGACTAGGAGTGATAGAGTAAAATATAATGGTACTCCCTGACTAGGAGTGATGATAGAGTAAAATATAATGGTACTCCCTGACTAGGACAGGAGTGATAGAGTAAAATATAATGGTACTCCCTGACTAGGACAGGAGTGATAGAGTAAAATATAATGGTACCCCCTGACTAGGACAGGAGTGATGGAGTAAAATATAATGGTACTCCCTGACTAGGACAGGAGTGATAGAGTAAAATATAATGGTACTCCCTGACTAGGAGTGATAGAGTAAAATATAATGGTAATCCCTGACTAGGAGTGATAGAGTAAAATATGACTAGGAGTGATAGAGTAAAATATAATGGTACTCCCTGACTAGGAGTGATAGAGTAAAATATAATGGTACTCCCTGACTAGGAGTGATAGAGTAAAATATAATGGTACTCCCTGACTAGGACAGGAGTGATAGAGTAAAATATAATGGTACTCCCTGACTAGGACAGGAGTGATAGAGTAAAATATAATGGTACTCCCTGACTAGGACAGGAGTGATAGAGTAAAATATAATGGACAGGAGTGATAGAGTAAAATATAATGGTACTCCCTGACTAGGAGTGATAGAGTAAAATATAATGGTACTCCCTGACTAGGAGTGATAGAGTAAAATATAATGGTACTCCCTGACTAGGAGTGATAGAGTAAAATATAATGGTACTCCCTGACTAGGAGTGATAGAGTAAAATATAATGGTAGACTAGGAGTGATAGAGTAAAATATAATGGTACTCCCTGACTAGGAGTGATAGAGTAAAATATAATGGTACTCCCTGACTAGGACAGGAGTGATAGAGTAAAATATAATGGTACTCCCTGACTAGGAGTGATAGAGTAAAATATAATGGTACTCCCTGACTAGGACAGGAGTGATAGAGTAAAATATAATGGTACTCCCTGACTAGGACAGGAGTGATAGAGTAAAATATAATGGTACTCCCTGACTAGGACAGGAGTGATAGAGTAAAATATAATGGTACTCCCTGACTAGGAGTGATAGAGTAAAATATAATGGTACTCCCTGACTAGGACAGGAGTGATAGAGTAAAATATAATGGTACTCCCTGACTAGGAGTGATAGAGTAAAATATAATGGTACTCCCTGACTAGGAGTGATAGAGTAAAATATAATGGTACTCCCTGACTAGGAGTGATAGAGTAAAATATAATGGTACTCCCTGACTAGGACAGGAGTGATAGAGCTGATTTTAAGGATGGCACCACCTAAGTGCTCAATTTAGTTTGTCATGTGTATGACTTTGTGATACACCATGAATTCCTCAATATATACATTTTAAAACATAAAGATCCAGATCTATGTTATATCTAGGTAAAACTGTCTACTCACACTTTTTATCATTGCTTTCCAGTTTGAAAATCAATTTGGAGGAAACGCTTACTAAAGCAGCGAAACTCTTCTATAAGTACTGTAAAAAGACAGTGGAAGAAAGCTTTCTGATGATTGAGCCACCAAAATCGAAGAGGTGAAAGAAAAAATTAATGTCGGTAACAACAAAAACAATATGAAACTTTTATGTAATTAGATGAATTCGTCTCCATAACAACCACCAGAGGTCACACAGCCACAAAGCAACAAGTTTGGACAAGGTTTGCAGGAAAAATTAGCCACAGTAATATAGATAGAAGTTATCTCCGCAGAGGCCTGAAGTTATCTCCGCAGAGGCCAGAAGTTATCTCCGCAGAGGCCTGAAGTTATCTCCGCAGAGGCCTGAAGTTATCTCCGCAGAGGCCTGAAGTTATCTCCGCAGAGGCCTGAAGTTATCTCCGCAGAGGCCCGAAGTTATCTCCGCAGAGGCCCGAAGTTATCTCCGCAGAGGCCCGAAGTTATCTCCGCAGAGGCCCGAAGTTATCTCCGCAGAGGCCCGAAGTTATCTCCGCAGAGGCCTGAAGATTTGATATCATCTTCTTATTGATGCAGATTATAAAAAAGATAGTCTGTGTGACTTTGAGTTATAAAGAGATAATCTCCTGAGTGACACTGAGTTCTAAAGAGATAATCTCCTGTGTGACACTGTGTTATAAAGAGATAATCTCCTGAGTGACACTGAGTTATAAAGAGATAATCTCCTGTGTGACACTAAGTTGTAAAGAGATAATCTCCTGTGTGACACTGAGTTGTAAAGAGATGATCTCCTGTGTGACACTGTGTTATAAAGAGATGATCTCCTGAGTGACACTGAGTTATAAAGAGATAATCTCCTGAGTGACACTGAGTTATAAAGAGATAATCTCCTGTGTGACACTGAGTTGTAAAGAGATAATCTCCTGTGTGACACTGAGTTGTAAAGAGATGATCTCCTGTGTGACACTGTGTTATAAAGAGATAATCTCCTGAGTGACACTGAGTTATAAAGAGATAATCTCCTGAGTGACACTGAGTTATAAAGAGATAATCTGTGTTACAATGAGTTATAAAGAGATAATCTGTGTTACACTGAGTTATAAAGAGATGATCTCCTGTGTGACACTGAGTTATAAAGAGATAATCTCCTGAGTGACACTGAGTTATAAAGAGATAATCTCCTGTGTGACACTGAGTTATAAAGAGATAATCTCCTGAGTGACACAGAGTTATAAAGAGATGATCTCCTGTGTGACACTGTGTTATAAAGAGATAATCTCCTGAGGGACACTGCACTATAAAGAGATAATCTCCTGAGTGACACTGAGTTATAAAGAGATAATCTGTGTTACACTGAGTTATAAAGAGATGATCTCCTGTGTGACACTGAGTTATAAAGAGATAATCTCCTGAGTGACACTGAGTTATAAAGAGATAATCTGTGTTACGCTGAGTTATAAAGAGATGATCTCCTGTGTGACACTGTGTTATAAAGATATGTCCTGAGTGACACTGTGTTATAAAGATATGTCCTGAGTGACACTGTGTTATAAAGATATGTCCTGAGTGACACTGTGTTATAAAGATATGTCCTGAGTGACGATAAATTATGTAAATATTATTGTGGTAATGTTTGTTATTTTTGTTTTCATAATTGTCAAGGTAAGATATGATATAGATATAAGTGCACTGCGTGTTGTAAACATCATGGAGATGTAGACAATTTCTCAGGGTTGAAATTATGTGTACAAATTATAATTGTTTCAAAAGTTGATGAGGAGGTTGTTTTAACTATGGTTTCTTCATTTTAACAACCTGTTTAGTGTGTTTTTACTATACGTATGCTCTGAAGATGTATTGCACTGTTTTATACTTTGTAAAATTTTGTTCTTATGAAGTGTACTTCTGACACCATGTAATGTCAGAGATTCAAACAAACATGGCTGACTAGGACGATGTGATTTTATTGCTGTTTAAGTAGGAACAAACAACACTGTCACTTATAACAATCCTGGTCATTCTATATACTGGCACAAAAAGAGCACTTTTGATTTATTTCTAAAGGGAAAAACTTTTGGAATTTGAAATACAAAAGGGAAGTCAAACAATGATGAAATTATTTTGACCTGATTTTCGATTTCATTTGTGTCATTTATGATTACATAAAAAAATCATACGCCTTTGAAACAGTGTTAAAGTCCCAATGGCACTGAAAATTTAAATTGCTTCAGTGGGTTTCGCAATACTATTAATAGTGAATGTGCTCTCACTAACCCCAGTGAACTGTGTCAAAGAATGTCATTTCTTAAATATGGCATCAATGGTGTGCTGACTATTGCATCACAAAACAAGACTGTTACAGTGGGGGCTCCGTAATGGTTTGGGCATGGAATGATGTGAATCAAGCATCACGTCGAATTTGTGGTCTTTCTCGATGAAAAGCACCAACAAGTTCCCGTCAGTTGACAGGAAATTGGGGATGATCGGTAATGTGTTGGTGTAACATGTTCCATGCATGCACGATTGTGTTACGGTCTGGTGAACAACTAGACCAGTGCATACACTTAATAGCTTGGAGGTGTTTATTCACAAGTCTAGCTCTATGTGGTTGAGCATTGTCGTCACTCATTGCAAACTCGGGGCCGACAACATCCGCAAATTATTTAACATTTGGATGAAGAATTTCAATCCAGTATTGTAAACCAGTGAGGCTACCATCTTAAATCATGTATGAGTCAGTCCGCCACCAAAGTTGATCCTTGCCCAAATCATTACAGAGCCCCGACCGTAACAGTCTTGTTTAGTAATGCAATAGCCATCATACCATTGATGCCATATTTAAGAAATGACATTCTTTGACACATTGAAGTGTACAGTCACAGTTCATTTGTGATTGTCCTGCCTGTAGCATCCTGACTGCTCACAAATATTAAAATTAAACAGGATGTAAAATGACAGGACACTCAGAAGAAACACAAAGTTTATAGACTGATTTGACGTCCATACAGACTTTCAATAAAACCACCATTGACAGTTGGATTTTAACCCTATGATGTTTTGCCGCAGGTTAACTGTTGCTTGTATGTGCAAATTGTTAGTGAAAAGTTAATGTACATACATGGGATGTTAAACAGAGGTGAAAGAGTGTCAAGCTTATCTTAAAATCACATACATTGATAATCCTGAACTTTTTGTGTTCAGTATACATACTTACTAACAGCTGATAATTCCTGAACAATCACTGCAGTGTTAGATACTGTAAACACACTGTGATATATCAGAGCATTGGAGCAGTAGTATTACTAGCTACAGGAACATTAGCAGACTTATACATGTATTTTGTATAAGGTGGCAACCAATCTCAAACCTGTTGCTGTGTATAGCTTCAGGTTTGAGAGTGATTCCGTCGTGATTGTGAAATGGCAACTAATCTCAAACCTGTTGCTGTGTATAGGTTTAGGTTCGAGAGTCATTCTGTCGTGATTGTGAAATGGCAACAAATCTCAAACCTGTTGCTGTGTATAGCTTCTGGTTTGAGAGTGATTCCGTCGTGATTGTGAAATGGCAACTAATCTCAAACCTGTTGCTGTGTATAGGTTTAGGTGAGTGATTCCGTCGCGATTGTGAAATGGCAACAAATCTCAAACCTGTTGCTGTGTACAGGTTCAGGTGAGTGATTCCGTCGCGATTGTGAAATGGCAACAAATCTCAAACCTGTTGCTGTGTATAGGTTTAGGTTCGAGAGTCATTCTGTCATGATTGTGAAATGGCAACTAATCTCAAACCTGTTGCTGTGTACAGGTTCAGGTGAGTGATTCCGTCGCGATTGTGAAATGGCAACAAATCTCAAACCTGTTGCTGTGTATAGGTGTAGGTTTGAGAGTGATTCTGTCATAATTGTGAAATGGCAACTAATCTCAAACCTGTTGCTGTGTATAGGTTTAGGTTCGAGAGTCATTCTGTCGTGATTGTGAAATGGCAACAAATCTCAAACCTGTTGCTGTGTACAGGTTCAGGTGAGTGATTCCGTCGCGATTGTGAAATGGCAACAAATCTCAAACCTGTTGCTGTGTATAGGTTTAGGTTTGAGAGTGATTCCGTCACGATTGTGAAATGGCAACAAATCTCAAACCTGTTGCTGTGTATAGGTTCAGGTGAGTGATTCCGTCACGATTGTGAAATGGCAACAAATCTCAAACCTGTTGCTGTGTATAGGTGTAGGTTTGAGAGTGATTCCGTCACGATTGTGAAATGGCAACAAATCTCAAACCTGTTGCTGTGTATAGGTGTAGGTTTGAGAGTGATTCCGTCACGATTGTGAAATGGCAACAAATCTCAAACCTGTTGCTGTGTATAGGTGTAGGTTTGAGGTGATTGATTGTGAAATGGCAACAAATTCAGTTGCTGTGTATAGGTGTAGGTTTGCGATTGTGAAATGGCAACAAATCTCAAACCTGTTGCTGTGTATAGGTGTAGGTTTGAGAGTGATTCCGTCGCGATTGTGAAATGGCAACAAATCTCAAACCTGTTGCTGTGTATAGGTGTAGGTTTGAGAGTGATTCCGTCGCGATTGTGAAATGGCAACAAATCTCAAACCTGTTGCTGTGTATAGGTGTAGGTTTGAGAGTGATTCCGTCGCGATTGTGAAATGGCAACAAATCTCAAACCTGTTGCTGTGTATAGGTGTAGGTTTGAGAGTGATTCCGTCGCGATTGTGAAATGGCAACAAATCTCAAACCTGTTGCTGTGTATAGGTGTAGGTTTGAGAGTGATTCTGTCGTGATTGTGAAATGGCAACAAATCTCAAACCTGTTGCTGTGTATAGGTGTAGGTTTGAGAGTGATTCCGTCGCGATTGTGAAATGGCAACAAATCTCAAACCTGTTGCTGTGTATAGGTGTAGGTTTGAGAGTGATTCCGTCGCGATTGTGAAATGGCAACAAATCTCAAACCTGTTGCTGTGTATAGCTTCAGGTTTGAGAGTGATTCCGTCGTGATTGTGAAATGGCAACAAATCTCAAACCTGTTGCTGTGTATAGGTTCAGGTTTGAGAGTGATTCCGTCGCGATTGTGAAATGGCAACAAATCTCAAACCTGTTGCTGTGTATAGGTGTAGGTTTGAGAGTGATTCCGTCGCGATTGTGAAATGGCAACAAATCTCAAACCTGTTGCTGTGTATAGGTGTAGGTTTGAGAGTGATTCCGTCGCGATTGTGAAATGGCAACAAATCTCAAACCTGTTGCTGTGTATAGGTGTAGGTTTGAGAGTGATTCCGTCGCGATTGTGAAATGGCAACAAATCTCAAACCTGTTGCTGTGTATAGGTGTAGGTTTGAGAGTGATTCCGTCGCGATTGTGAAATGGCAACAAATCTCAAACCTGTTGCTGTGTATAGGTGTAGGTTTGAGAGTGATTCCGTCGCGATTGTGAAATGGCAACAAATCTCAAACCTGTTGCTGTGTATAGGTGTAGGTTTGAGAGTGATTCCGTCGCGATTGTGAAATGGCAACAAATCTCAAACCTGTTGCTGTGTATAGGTGTAGGTTTGAGAGTGATTCCGTCGCGATTGTGAAATGGCAACAAATCTCAAACCTGTTGCTGTGTATAGGTGTAGGTTTGAGAGTGATTCCGTCGCGATTGTGAAATGGCAACAAATCTCAAACCTGTTGCTGTGTATAGGTTTAGGTTTGAGAGTGATTCCGTCGTGATTGTGAAATGGCAACAAATCTCAAACCTGTTGCTGTGTATAGGTTTAGGTTCGAGAGTCATTCTGTCGTGATTGTGAAATGGCAACAAATCTCAAACCTGTTGCTGTGTATAGGTGTAGGTTTGAGAGTGATTCCGTCGCGATTGTGAAATGGCAACAAATCTCAAACCTGTTGCTGTGTATAGGTGTAGGTTTGAGAGTGATTCTGTCGTGATTGTGAAATGGCAACAAATCTCAAACCTGTTGCTGTGTATAGGTGTAGGTTTGAGAGTGATTCCGTCGCGATTGTGAAATGGCAACAAATCTCAAACCTGTTGCTGTGTATAGGTGTAGGTTTGAGAGTCATTCTGTCGCGATTGTGAAATGGCAACAAATCTCAAACCTGTTGCTGTGTATAGGTGTAGGTTTGTGATTCCGTCGCGATTGTGAAATGGCAACAAATCTCAAACCTGTTGCTGTGTATAGGTTTAGGTGAGTGATTCCGTCGCGATTGTGAAATGGCAACAAATCTCAAACCTGTTGCTGTGTATAGGTGTAGGTTTGAGAGTGATTCCGTCGCGATTGTGAAATGGCAACAAATCTCAAACCTGTTGCTGTGTATAGGTGTAGGTTTGAGAGTGATTCTGTCGTGATTGTGAAATGGCAACAAATCTCAAACCTGTTGCTGTGTATAGGTTTAGGTTTGTGATTCCGTCGCGATTGTGAAATGGCAACAAATCTCAAACCTGTTGCTGTGTATAGGTGTAGGTTTGAGAGTGTATATTTACAATGAGGAAATGTAACAAAGAAACCTGTTCTGTGACATTACATATGTATTACATCTTAAACACTTCTGGAGCTGATTTTAACATTCTGTAAAGTAATGTGATGTGCAATTAAAGTTATACATGTGTCAATTCCCAAATACTCAGCTGGTAATAATAAAGACAAATAACCGTTATATTGTTGTTGTAATATGTAAACACTTGGCCATCTGTTAGGAGATATTTTAGATTTTGCTTGATGTTGAATTTAAGAAAAATATTCATCATCAGCTGATTGTGAACTTATATAAAAATCTCAAACCTAAGATTTGTGTACAGATTTTCCTCAGCTAATATCTCCTTGAAAATATCTTGTATGAAAATTCCTCAAGGAAATTCAAACATCCTAGCTGTGATGCCTTCCTCCTGTTCCTTGAGAAAATTTTATACAAGCCATTTTGAAATGGATATCAGCATTAGCATGAAAGGAAATATTTCTTCAGAATTTTATCAACATACATAAAAAGGAAAATCTCAAGTTGAGATGTTTTATACAAGTGGGGCCTGGACCTATAGATTAGAAATGATTTTTTTTTCAGCATCTGATGAAAATAAGATCTGGCAGTGCTGTATCAATTCATACTACTTGATTAAGAAGATAATCTAGTGATCAACAGGTTGTAGTTGGGTATGTCAGTATTAGGTATAGCCAACACACTGCTGTACTTTTGTCAGTCGTCTCATACCATTGAGCAGACACTGAAGCATGTTCTGGGGAAAATTCTGTGACTCCTAAATTAAAGCAGTCTGTCTCCTTTTGTTTGGCATTTTGGATCTTAAGCATTGACATTTGGTCCAAGATGAGATGTTTTATACAAGTGGGGCCTGGTCCTATAGATTAGAAATGATTTTTTTTCAGCATCTGATGAAATTAAGATCTGGTAGTGCTGTATCAATTCATACTACTTGATTAAGAAGATAATCTATGCTCAAGTGATGCGTGTCAACACACATATGCTCAAGTGATGTGTGTCCCAAATTTAAAGCAGTCTGTCTCCTTTTGTTTGGCATTTTGGATCTTAAGCATTGACATTTGGTCGAAGATACTCCCACAAATGCTCAAGTGATGCGTGTCCCACATATGCTCAAGTGATGTGTGTCCCACATATGCTCAAGTGATGCATGTCCCACATATGCTCACGTGATGCGTGTCCAACATATGCTCCCGTGATGCTTGTCCAACATATGCTCACGTGATGTGTGTCCCACATATGCTCAAGTGATGCGTGTCCCACATATGCTCATGTGATGCGTGTCCAACATATGCTCACGTGATGCTTGTCCCACATATGCTCACGTGATGCGTGTCCCACATATGCTCAAGTGATGCGTGTCCCACATATGCTCAAGTGATGCGTGTCCCACATATGCTCAAGTGATGCGTGTCCCACATATGCTCAAGTGATGCGTGTCCCACATATGCTCAAGTGATGCGTGTCCCACATATGCTCACGTGATGCGTGTCCCACATATGCTCAAGTGATGCATGTCCCACATATGCTCAAGTGATGTGTGTCCCACATATGCTCACGTGATGCGTGTCCCACATATGCTCACCTGATACTTGTACCAGATTCTGATGGTATGTCATATTTCTTGATCTCCCAACATGGACTCTGCCATCTACCGAGTTAATTAACAAGTGACCTTTATCAGGCTAGTGGTCTCTTCACCAACACCAAATATTGCAGTCTTGTTTCTTTGTGACTTTTTTTGTCAACAGAAGATGCTTTACTAGTTGGCGAGAGTGAAGTCACCTATTGTTCAAATGTGTGTTGACTGTACACTGGCTAATATGAATATATAGATATTCCACTGTCCCCTGAGTCTGTTTCCAGTGGTGAAAAGGGCTTACCTTGCCTGTCTACAGAAAAGTCTGACTTCTGAGTTTATCAGTCCAGTATTACAACGGTGATATATAACAGTCCAGTATTAGTCTGTATTTTAATGTTGGTGCCATTTTCGACGTGTACCGTCTGAACCAGTTGAGGTATTTTAATGTTGGTGCCATTTTTGATGTGTACCGTCTGAACCAGTTGAGGTATTTTAATGTAGTGCCATTTTCGATGTGTACCGTCTGAACCAGTTGAGGTATTTTAATGTGGTGCCATTTTCGATGTGTACCGTCTGAACCAGTTGAACTTAAATGAAGCTAAGAACCTGTTGATTATTATTAAAGTTTTTATTAACTTAACATACAAATTGGCAACACATTACAATGTTAAGTTCAGGAATACAAAGTGGCCATGATAATTACAGATTCCTACCTGCACAAAGCTCTTGAAAAGACAATTCATCATACAGCATCTTTTTTCAATTTCATTTCACTGGACAGATTTCACTGTTTTCTTTGTTCTATTTGAAGGAGTGGAATGCTTATAAACCTAGCAGAGACATATATTAGGCAGTCTGGCAAGTGTGTTAGGCTTATTTATACAACATAAAGTGAAATTTAGCTGTATTTAGTATTAATGCACTTCGATATGAATTGCATAAGTTATACAAAAATAAGACAAATTGCATATCTATTTGTGTATGAACAAAAGTGGGGAAAAAATATGCTAGAAGGTGTGCTCATCAATCTTGAAAGATAATTTTTCACTAGAATAACGACGACTTTGAAATCTTGAATAAATAACTTAACAATTCAATTCATTCAACAGTATGACAGGTTTCTCCTGCCTAAATTCTAGTTTTACCTGATGAATGCAGCCTTGTCTGTGGCTTACACTTAACATCTGT